CTGACCTCAGATGATCTGTCTGCCTTGGCCTCCCAAAGTGCTGGGATTACAGGTGTGAGCCACTGTGCCCAGCCCTCTTAACAAATTTTTAAGTATATGATACATTATTGTTGACTTTACCGCTATTGCTTTTCTTTTTCTTTTTTTTTTTTGAGACAGAGTCTCGCCCTGTCACCCAGGTTGCAGTACTGTGGCGTGATCTCTGCTCACTGCAACCTCTGCCTCCCGGGTTCAAGCGATTCTCCTGCCCCAGCCTCCCGAGTAGCTGGGATTACAGGCATGCACCTCCACGCCCAGCTAACTTTGGTATTTTTAGTAGAGACGGGGTTTCACCATGTTGGTCAGGTTGGTCTTGAACTCCTGACCTCGTGATCCACCTGCCTCAGCCTCCCAAAGTGCTGGGATAACAGGCGTGACCCACTGCACCCGGCCTGCTATTGTTTCTTATTGTCTGACATGGAGTAAATAAAAGTCTCTGATGAATTCCTCAAAGGCCAGCAGGCGAAGGGATAAGAGACAGGTGAGAGTGGCCAGTCTAGGTGTGTGAAGACTGAAGTATGCAGGATCTCCTCTCTCATCTTGCTGTTCCCTCTGCCTGGACGCTCTTTCCTGACATCTGAGTGACTTGCTCCCTCACCTCATTCAAGCCCTTCTTTGAAAACAAATGGGGGATTCTGAGCCGGCAATATACCGTGGTTTCTACCATGGTTTCCATATTTCTGCAGGCAGGTCTTAAAAGAGAGCCTTCATAAGCCACAAGAAGGAGAACTGAGGTCAGAGATGACTGATCTCTGAGACTTCGAGACTGATCTCAGCTGGAGGATTCTGGGGAAGCCATTTCCCCTGTCTGGTCTCTGTTTTCTTACCTCTAAAATGAGAGGGCTGGACCAGTGATAGCTAAGATACTCCTCAACCTCTGGGCATCTGATACAACAAAGCAATGTCCCTCCAAGAGACCACACCGTTTCATAAGCTAACAACCACAGTTCTCAAACTTGACCCAGATATTCCCTTCCTGAATCATGAAGACCAGAGAATATGCCTACTTCCTCAGTTTGTGAGGTCCCAGTATATCTCCAGACCAGATACTCACGAAGGCCCACTCTGGTCCCCTTCAATGTGTCCCGGAATAGACAGGCATATGGGAAGCCTTGAGATTTAATGGGTGTTTCTTCTAAAAAGATAGAGCTATTCAGTACAAGTTAGAAATGAAAAACTGCTTGGGTGGCAGGAACTGTATGAGTATTTGTTTTGCATAGAAAATGTTTCAGATTCAAGAACGAATCCACCTTACTGATGCTCGTGAGTGTGTGTGTGCGTGTGTGTGAATGTGTGTGTGTGTGTAAGCAGATATGTATTCAACTGATTTAAAAAACACGAGATAGTGCCTAATGTGCCTGGCACTTTACATTGTTTATCTACAACCTGGGACACCTCTGTGAGGTTGAAATTATTTTCACATGTTATAAGAGAGGAAGCTAAAGTGTTTCTTTGTGGTTTTTTGTTTTTTGTTTTTTTCTGAGATGGAGTCTTGCTCTGTGGCCAGGGTGGGGTGCAGTGGCATAATCCCGGCTCACTGCAATCTCTGCCTCCTGAGTTCAAGCGATTCTCCTGCCTCAGCCTCCTGAGCAACTGAGATTACAGGCACACGCCACCATGCCAGGCTAATTTTTGTATTTTTAGTTGAGACAGGGTTTCACCATATTGGCCAGTATAGTCTTGATCTCTTGACCTTGTGATCCACCCGCCTTGGCCTCCCAAAGTGCTGGGATTACAGGCGTGAGCCACTGCGCCCAGCCTGTTTGTGTTTTTTTTGATACAGGGTCTCCCTCTGTCCTGCTGTTGCCCAGATTGGCCTGAAACTCCTGGGTTCAAGTGATCCTCCTGCCTCTGCCCAAAATGCTGGGATTACAGGCGTGAGCCACCACACCCAGCCCTTTTTTTTTTTCTTAAACTCACATCCAGTCCATTAGAAAAACACGCTGGCTCTACTCTCTTAAGCCCATATACTCGACATTCTACAACCAGAATCTGACCACTTTGCACCAACACCTCTGAAAATAATGCTGGTCCAAACGAGTATCATCTCTAACTTATTACAACAGCCCTCACTGGAAATTATTCTTAACTTAGCAGTTGGTAGGATCCATTAAAAAAAAAAAAAAAAGGCAAGTTGGATTGTGTCACTCTGCTGCTCAAAGCCCTGCAGTGGCTCCTCATTTTACCCAGCATAAAACCTAGAGTCTAGAGTCCTTTTCATAGCCTGCTAGGTCCTGCACCCTCTGGCCCATCAGCTCTATGACTGCCTCTCCTACTGCCCTTCCTGTGTTCTTTCCACTCCAGGTGGCTTCCCTACTACTCATTACCTATGCTAGACACATTCCTTCCTTGAGTCCTTAGTTCTAGCTAATCCCTCTGCCTGGTGTGTTCTTCTCCCAGATATCAGCTTGGCTAACATTCCCACCTCCAAGGTTTGGTTTAAGTCTCACCCTCTCATGACAGCTACCCTGACCACCCTATAAAAATACTGTAACCACCTCTCCACATTCCGTCAACTCTATCTTATTTATTTTTTCCTTAGTACTTATTATCTTGTAGGGCACTCTATAACGTATTGCTATACTGAGCTTATGGTCATCTCTGCTGGAAGAATCTTGTTTTATTTACCGACTGATGTATCCCAAGCACCAAGAAGAATAACTAGCACCAAGGGATGTTGAAAAAATCTTCATTCAGTGAATGAATGAATCCTAGGTCCCATGAATATGGGATAGACAGATGGCAGGAAACAGGTCAAATTTGTTTTCTAAAATGGAGAGACTATTAAAAAATAAAATTAGCTGGGTATGGTACCACACACCTGTAGTCCCAGCTACTTGGGAGGCTGAGGTGGGAGGACTGCTTGAGCCTGGGAGGTCGAGGTTGCAGTGAGCTATGATTGTGCCCCTGCATTCCAGCCTGGGTGACAGGATGAGAATCTGTCTCAAAAAATAAAAATAAAAATAAGATGGAGGGATTGCCACCTTTTGCTACTTGAGAAAACTATAAAACCCAACACCAGAGGGCAGGTCCAGACAGAGACAGAGGAGCTACCAAAGCACCTCTGGCCTGTTGGTAAGCCTGTGGCTCACATGATTCATGGAGGTCCATCTCCTCCTCTTGAACAGGTGAAGGCCAACTCTTCTCTTTCAGGGCCAAGGGACACTACCCCTGTGCAAGGGATTTCCTCAGGGAGGGCAAAGAGTTGAAACAGCAACATCACAGCTGTGCTTGCTACTTTTGTACATTGTCTCTAATTTTCCCAGTGAGCCAGCTGAAGTTTCTATTGTGAAAAGAAAATACCTTGGGTTCCCCAAATCACTAAGCTAAAGGGAAATGTCAAGCTGGAAACTGCTTAGTATAAACCTGCCTCCCATTCTATTCAAAGTCACTGAGATAAATTATTATAAATTAAAGTATCTCACTGAGATAAATGCATATCCCACTGCCTCCTTTGGAAAGGCTAATCAGATGCTCAAAAGAACACAACATTTGTCTCTTATCTACCTATGACCTGGAAACCCCCTCCCTGCTTCCGGTTCATCCCACTTTTGCTTCCAGTCCTCCCACCTTTCCGGAGGAACCAATGCTCATTTTACAGTTTTAATTGATGTCTCACATCTTCCTAAAACTGTAAAACCAAGCTGTGCTCTGATGACCTTAGGCACATGTCATCAGCACCTCCTGAGGCTGTGTCACAGCCGTGCATTTTCAACCTTGGAAAAATAAACTTTCTAAATTAACTGAGACCTGTCTCAGATTTTCAAGGTTCACATTTTGGTAACTATGGATGGATTCTGAGTGGAGATGTCCCTGACCTTTGACAAATCTCCTATCAGTGCTTGGTACCAGTATGAGCTAATTTTATGGCTCAAACCAATACAACAATTTGCTGAGGAGGGTCTGAGAACACCCCCTCCAGAGAATCCCTGATTTCCCCAAATTTGGTGAAGATCTTTGGCTGGGTGCGGTGGCTCACACCTATAATCCCAACACTTTGGGAGGCCAAAACAGGTGGATCACCTGAGGTCAGGAGTTCAAGACCAGCCTGACTAATATGGTGAAACTCTGTCTTTACTAAAAATACAAAAAATTAGCCAGGTGTGGTGGCGGGCACCTGTTTAACCCCAGCTACTCAGGAGACTGAGGCAGGAGACTTGCTTGAACCCGGGAGGTGGAGGTTGCAGTGAACCAAGATTGCGCCACTGCACTCCAGCCTGGGTGGCAGAGTGAAACTCCATCTCAAAACAAACAAACAAGATCTAAAGTTTATTTTGTTGTACAACTCCTCTTTTTATTTGGAGTTTTACTTGCTTTTAACAAGGAAGGCAAGATTTCCTATTTCGATGACAATGGAAGGCAGGTAACTCCTTTCTGGAATTTGAGCTCACTTCTAACAGGGAAGATGAGCTGGGTTTTTTTGTTTTTGTTTTTGCTTTTTTCCTGCTTCTAGGGTGGTAGACAGCAGTCTACAGCCTGAGACCCATCCCTAGATAAGTAACTGAATTATCTTGTTTTTAAATTAAGGTTATTACATCCATGTATCTTTCTGTATGTGCTTTTAAGGTACTGGCCGGATGTGGTGGCCCACACCTGTAATCCCAGCACTTTGGGAGGCCAAGGTGGGTGGGTCACCTGAGGTCAGGAGTTCGAGACCAGCCTGATCAACATAGTGAAACCCCATCTCTACTAAAAATACAAAAATTAGATGGACACGGTGGTGCGCACCTGTAGTCCCAGCTACTCGGGATGCTGAGGCAGGAGAATCATTTGAACCGGGGAGGTGGAGGTTTCAGTGAGCAAAGATCACGTACTGCACTCCAGCCTGGGTGACAAAAATGAGGCTCTGTTTCAAAAAAAAAAAAAAAAAAAAAAAAAAAAAGGTCCTTGCAACATTGAGTTACAGGGTTTTAACTCCTGGGTCTAAAAAAGAACACCATGTCCTGTCAAATCTTTTTTTTTTTTTTTTTTTTTTTTTCAGGAAAAGAGCTGGGAAAGCACTTGTCTCCTTTATTGAACACCTGCAGGGGGCACCTCTGCACTGACTAGGCAGCCAGAGAAGCAAGTAGGCAGGCGGTGGGGGGCAGAGAAGCATGGGGCAGGAAGACGCCCACCCTCATTTCCAGTCCTTGAAAAATTGCTTGAAGATGGGACTCTCACGGCCCTGGGGCAGAATCTCCACCTGGGTGTTCAGGGCGTACTGCATGCGCGAGATGAAGCCCTCGGCCACTTGCAGGGCTGCCTGCCGCTCCTTCTCATTCGCTTTTCGCCCCTTCCAGATATAGATCTTGCCACAGAGCCCGTTGTCCAGCACGAAGCAGTCATCAGATATCAGCAGCTCAAGGGCAAAGGGGCTGGAGTCAGCCACCTTGGTCAGGTTCATCTGTCCAGTGGCATCAGAGACCTTATACAGAGCTGCGGCCTGGGCATTTGCCTTGTCAGCTGTGAGGTCTGCCTCGGGGTTGCCCTCCTTCAGAGCAGGCTTGGGGCCCAGGACCTGGATCATCTCAGCAGGCTCCTCCCCATCAGTGACAATCTCCACCTGGGCCTTGCCCTGTCGCTCACTGTCCTGGATGGCCAGGGCCAGGTCCCTCGCCTTGTTGCGTTCCAGGATGTTGGACTTTCCACCACACCAGGCGAAGATGTTCTGGCCCAGGTCCAGGATGAAGCAGTCCCCAGTGCTGAAGCTGTCCCAGTTCAGTGCCCGCTCGGTGGCACGGATGTTCTTCTTCCCCTTCACCTGGTAGAGTTTCTTGATGGCAGCTGGGGCTCCTATGGAGGTCTTGTGAAATGCTGACTCCACACCACCTTCCTGGTACTTGAGGCCTCGTGGGAAGTAGCTCATGAAGAGGTCGGACTCATTGCCCTGCACCTCGCGGTGCTGCACAGGCCGCTCTCCCAGCAGCGTGTTGAGGTGCACAGCCAGCACGGCACAGGCCCCCTGCTCATCCCAGGATGACTGCTGACCTATCCACAGGTGCAGATGGGAAACCTCTTCTGGGCCATTGTGCAGCACTAGGTAGGAGTCCCCCGAGAAGAAGATGCCCTGGTTCTCTCGTGCCACGGGCACTGGCTTCAGCTTCTCCACCCGCCACACATGCAGGCCTGGATCCTGCACTGAGCCTGGGAATGGAGAGCCACTCTGGGGAATGGCTGTGTACATGCTGTCTTCAGATCTGCCAACACCTTGCTCTGGGGCTCGGACGCTGTCTCGTCAAATCTTTTTTTTTTTTTTTTTGAGATAGAGTCTTGCTCTGTCGCCCAGGCTGGAGTGCAGTGGCGTAATCTTGGCCCACTACAAGCTCCACCTCCTGGGTTCATGCCATTCCCCTGCCTCAGCCAAGTAGCTGGGACTACAGGCACCTGCCACCACACCCGGCTAATTTTTTGTATTTTTAGTTAGAGACGGGGTTCACCATGTTAGGCAGTATGGTCTCGATCTCCTGACCTCGTGATCTGCCCGCCTCGCCTCCCAAAGTGCTAGGATTACATGCGTGAGCCACCGCACCCAGCCCTATGCCTTGCCAAATCTTAAACATTGACAGCAATTAAAGCCTCATCTTCAGGCCTGGTAGAAGATGCCAATCAGGATAAACTGCATCCCTAAGACACAGGGCCAGAAATTAAAGCTACTCAACTCCTCAAGGCCCAGGGACTCTTGCAGAAGAGGTGGGTGCATGAGATTGTAAGAGCTGATTTTTGAAAGATAAAATAGGTAAAGTTTCTTTATAAATTAATCATGAATGTCAAAGGTACACTGATGCAAAAGCAGCACGTGACCCCCTGTGTCAAATTAACAAGATTTTCTTGAAGCATTAAGCAACTCCTTAAGAAAGGTTATAAAGGTTATAAAAGGCTTATGGAAGTTATATCTTATGGTCAAGATTAAAATTTTATAGATTGTTTATAAAATTTTGAAAAACAAATTTAATTGGCTTCATGCTGTTTTTATTAGGGCTTATTGATTGAAAAATCAAGTCTCTACTCTCAAGGAATGGATATTTTCACCTTCTTTTTGAAATCCTTGAGTTATTGCTTTGGTTAAAAGAATGACTTATTTTACAATGTCCTGCGATCCTATTTTGTGATATCAAGTTTTAAACCTTTAATATTTGACAAACTTTCCAAAATCAAATCATAAATTATGTCTTTTTCTGACCTGATTAATCCTTTAAGATGTAAGTCTCCATAATGTCCAAAAATGACATAATTTGGCTTATTTTGTATAAAAATTGTATTTGGTATAAAAATTATATAATGTTAAATATGAAATGGTTTATTATTTTCTTTGGGCTGTATTTGTATAAATATGTTATTGGTATGTGTTCTAAAATTATGGGAAACTCCTATAATTCTGATATAACTTAGTGGATATTGTCAGTAATAATTATAACTGTTATGCTAAATTGTTGTGTGCCACAGAGGTAACACATTTTCTTATGAACTGTGTCTTTGATGGCTTCCCTAAAACTCTGTCATCCACAGACAATTGTTGTGTTGCTTGGTCCTCTTTAGAAGGTGGTTTTATAATCAGCTGTAATAGGCCGGGCATGGTGGCTCATGCCTGTAATCTCAGCACTTTGGGAGGCTGAGGCAAGCATATCACTTGAGGTCAGGAGTTCAAGACCAGCCTAGCCAACATGGCAAAACCCTGTCTCTACTAATAATACAAAAATTAACTGGGTGTGGTGGCAGGTGCCTGTAATCCCAGCTACTTGGGAGGCTGAGCAGTAGAATCGCTTGAACCTGGTAGGTGGAGGTTGCCATGAGCCAAGATTGCACCACTGCACTTCATCTTGCGCGACAGAGCAAGACTAGTCTAAAAATAAATGAATAATAATCATCATCTATAAAACTCTAACAGGGGCTCTTGAATGCAGGTTTCTGATAACTTTGAAGACTGTGACATCAGAATAGAGGATAAACTTTCAGACTCATGGAGAGCTCAAATGCTCATGAATATCAAAGCAGAACAGGAATTAACTGCATGGACTGAAATAATTTTTTTGGCTTTTTGCTTAAAACATTGCTGATCCTTTGTTTTGTTTTTCAGAGTCTTCAAACTTTTCTTTTGAGCTATTGACAGCTTTTAACAATTTAGTATATTCCTATGACCAAAATTTGGAACATATTTGTTTCTCTCTATCTGATTTCTCCAGGATTTGGAAACTATTTGTGAGTACTCTTAATTTATGGCAATATAGTTATTTGCATAAGCACAATAAGAATCTGTTTTCACTGGTAACAGGACACAACTGGAGAAACTGATTATTTTACCAAGGCTTTGACTGGAACCGTGTTCTTTCTTTCAAGGAATCAAACTTGATTTATGGAGCCAATAAAGCCCTTGGGAAACTGGCCTCATATTTTGTGTACACAGTCCCTGAACAGGGTTTCTGACTTGTGTTAAGAAAAGAATGTTACTTTACGACAGGCCCAGGAGCCCCAGGTTTATCTTGGAACCTCAAGAGGAGAGGAAATTCACCCAACTCATAGATATTTGATGGTACAAATCCATGGCAAGGCTTGGCTTTAAAAAAGTCTTGCCTGAGATTCCTTCTAAATAACAAAGTCCCATCAAAGTCAATGTTTTAAAAAAGCCTATGTGAAAAATAATTATTCTTGCTGTATTTTATACAAATAATCTGGCCAAGTATTATAAAGCAAATCGTTCCTACCATGATTTGTCTTTAGTAAAAACAGGAAACTGGAGAAAGAAAAATTATGTTTTAAAAACTATAGTACACCTGTCATGAGATCCTAGCATTGCCTAATGTTTTTCAATTTTAATAATTTTCTACAGTTTGTGCTGAATTCTAATTTTCCTTGGCTACAAGCCTTCAAAATAATGTTTTTGGCCGGGCACGGTGGCTCACATCTGTAATCCCAGCACTCTGGGAGGCTGAGGTGGGCAGATCAGAGGTCAGGAGTTTGAAACCAGCCTGACCAACATGGTGAAACCCCGTCTCTACTAAAAATACAAAAATTAGCTGGGTATGGTGGCGTGTGCCTGTAATCCCAACTACTCAGGAGGCTGAGGCAGGAGAATCGCTTGAACCTGGAAGGCAAAGGTTGCAGTGTGCATGATCGCACCACTGCACTCCAGCCTGGGCAACAGGACAGAGCGAGACTCTGTCTCCAAAAAAACAAAACAAAACAAAATAATGTTTTCAATTTCTTTGCCTCCTTTTTTTTTCCATTTTCCTAATTTGGAGTTACTGAAAACTAAGCCGTGCTTTCTTGCAGCCCTGCAAACTGAAGCCAGACAACTTCAGAAGAAAATAACAGCAACCTATTTACACACATAAGCCACTTTCATACCTGCTTACTGATATATAGACTTCAGAGTAATGTGTCCTATATTGATTTTCTAGGATTGTTCTTTTGTTTGTTGTTTTCTCCCTTCCTCCCCGTATTTTCTCTTCACAGGACATGAGACTTCACAACTTTCCAAAAATGAACTTTCCTAATAACTCAGAACCTATCCGTCTAGGAATAAACCATCCTAGCTATAAGAGATCAGATGAAACCTAAGGCCAGAGATTCATTTTCTTCTAAAATGCTTTCTCCAAAAGATTTCAAAAAAGAAAAGGGGGAAAATGTGAAAGGAATAGATCTTGGGCCCCCAAAATCACTAAGCTAAAGCGAAATGTCAAGCCAGGAACTGCTTAGGGCAAACCTGCCTCCGATTCTATTCAAAGTTGCCCCTCTGCTCACTGAGACAAATGCATATTTGATTCCCTACTTTGGAGAGGCTAATCAGAAATTCAAATGTGATCATTTATCTCTTATCTACCTATGACCTGGAAGCCCCCTCCCTGCTTCGGAGTCCTCCTGCTTTTGCTGCTAGTCATCCCGCCTGGACCGAATGAATGTTCATTCTTACATATGTTAATTGATGTCTCATGTCTCCCTAAAATGCATAAAACCAAGCTGTGCTCTTATTATCTTGGGCACATATCATCAGGACCTCCTGAGGCTGTGTCATGGGCGGGCGTGTGTTCTCAACCTTGGCAAAATAAACTTTCTAAATTAACTGAGACCTCAGATTTTCGGGGCTCACACTGTAAAAAGGAGAGTAGAGGTTCCTCTTCAAAGACTTTCCTCCCCATCTACTTAAGTTAAATAGTAACTTCTCTTAGAAGCAAAATTTATTCAAAGACCTCTGCTAACATTCTTAAATATCTACTAGCCATAATAAAGAAATCAATGTACTTTATGTTTTTAGCTCCCACAATTTAGCCTAAATATTGCCCTGGCATGCTTATACTAGTCCAAGCAAGCATTAAGTCATAGCCTGTTCCTCATCCTTATTTGAAGGTGTTTTTTACCTTTCTCAGCATTCCACAAGTTACTTCCCCCTTCCTTTGTTCTCCTCTGCCTTTGCCTCTTTTAAAAAGTTCTAAGTTGCTAGCCAATCAGGACAAATACAGAACGTGAAGTCCCGTTCCAGCCAATAGTAACCGGACACAGCAGTAAAGTAGACGGGTCAAGTTATAAATGACCCTGTCTCCTTTATTCAGTGTACTCTTGTGGCAAAACTGCTAGCTAGTGTACCCTTTCTGTAGAAAGTAAAAAAATAGCCTTGCTGAAGAAATTAACGTTCAAGTGCTATTTCTTTACGGCAGCAAAGAACAAGCATTTCTAACAACATTATGATTTCCATTCTGCAGATGAAGGAGTCAAGGCTCTGAGGAGTTCAGGAACTTGCTTGAGCTACACAGCTAATAAACGGTAGAGCTCATATTTCATTGCAGGTCAGACTGATGGGGAAGCCCATTCCTGGTTTGTCTCAGCTGTCCTGGGAGCCCTCTGGGCCACTCAGGTCCTAGCTCCACAGCCCCTTCCTTTCCTCTGGCTTCCCACCAAAGTCTCACCTGGATGTGGTGACGAGACAGGTGGAAAATCTCCTGTGCCATCAGCAAGGTCTTTGAGTCCATCACCAGGTACAGCAGATGCAGGAGGGCAAGGAAGCCTGCGCCTCTCAGGTCCGTGGCTGGATTCGCTCCTGTAACAGGGGCCGTGAGGAAACAGGGTGTGGCAGCCAGCAATGCGTTAAGAGCTTGCCGTGGGAAGCTGCCCTGACACTGGCCTCTTCCCAGGCTAGGAGAGCATAAGCAGCACAGGTCCACTTTCTGCCACACTTGTGGGGCTCATTCTAATGAGCTAAGCAGGGGCTACGCACCAAATGGGGATCCCAGTGCCCTGGGGCAGCCTCCCACATTAGTTTTCTTGCCGCTGTCTATGACCCTTGACAGTCACTTCTCCACAAAACAACCAGAGTGATCCTTAACAAAAAAGGCTGAATTTACAGTTCTGGAACAAGATGAATTATGCACTTTCTGCCTATTCCTCCCACTAAGTACAGCTAAAAGCCCTGGACATTACTATATAAAATAAACAGAAGACTCTGAAAGGAGGGAAGACAGACTTATTAAGAATCCTGAGAGCTGAGAAATGACTCTCTGGTGAATTCCTGGGTTTCTTTTTGCCTAATATATCCCAAGTGGTGCTGGAGAAGACAGCAACCCAGAAATGCCAATGGGAGCAGACTAAAAAGCCCCAAGGAAAGCTGCTTTCTCTAGCCAAAGCGTGGAGAAAGAGGCAGTGTAGCAAGACAGAAAGTTTTAGCCAACACCCACCCTACTGCAGCAAAACACCACAGAGAAAACTGTGGCCCTATCCCCACTCTTCTCCAGAAAAGGCGGAGTAGGGACCCTAGACTTCCATCCTGGCCTGACTGTCAAGGCACCCTTAGCTCCACAAGGGTAGCGTCAGAGAAGGCCCAGCGGGGAGCTGGGACTTTATCTTTCCCAGGGGTAAGGAGCCCCTTGCCTCCTGTGCGATGTGGAAGTCACATAGGAAGAGTAACGAGGTACCCCTGCCCCACCAGCCATGTTGGCCAGGCTGGTCTCAAACTTGGTATTAGTATAAGCCAAATGGGATACCTGGACTTCCACCCCCACCTGGCAGTAACAAGGTGACGTCCCTCCTTCCCCTGCTGGCACAGTAACAGAGGAGGCCTGCTAAAGTAGATTTAAGTAAGATCCAGAGTCTCATACAAACTATCCAAAATGTCTAAGATACAATAAAAAATCACTTGTTACACCAAGAACTAGGTAATTCTCAATTTGAATGAGAAAAGATGATCAACAGACACCAACACTGAGATAACACAGTTGTTGGAATTATTTGACAAGGAATTTAAAGCAGCCGTGGTAGGCAAAATAATCCCCCCGCCCCACGATGGCCATGTCCCCAGAAGCTATGACTATGTTATGTAACATAGCAAAGGGGATTAAGACTGCAGGTAGCACTAAAGTTGCTGATCAGCAGAAAGGGAGATGATCCTGGACTGTCTGGGTGGACCCCATGTCATCGGAAGGGTCCTTAAAAGTGTAAAAGAAAGGCAGAAGCCCAGAGCCAGAGAAAGAGTTGTGAAGAATCGGGCTCAGAGAGATGCTGTTTCTGGCTTTGAAGATGGAGGAATGGAGGTGGCCTCCAGAAGCTGCAAAAGGCAAGGAAATGGATTCTCCTCCAGAGCCTCCAAAAAGAACACTGTGCTGTCAACACCTTGATCTTGAACACAGGTTCTCAGTGAGACCTGAGTCAGACTTCTGAACTAGAAAACTGTAAGATAATAATTTGTGTTGTTTTAAGCCACTAGGTTTGCGGTAATTTATTACAGCAATGATAGAAAATGACTATAGTATCTACCATAGAATGCCTTTGGTAAGCAATTATGAACAAATACACTTTGAAAGAATGAAAGAATAGAAAGTTTCAGTAAAGAAACAGCAGATATAAAGAATAACCAAATAGAAACTTTAGAACTGAAAAATAGAATAACTAGAACTAAAAACTCTCTGGATGGGGTCAACAGGAGAACAGAGACAGCAGAGGAGAGAATCAGTGAACTTGAATATGGGACAGTAACAATAGAATTACATAATATGAACAACAGAGGGACAGAAAAGCAAAAACCAAAATGAACAGAGCCTTAGAGATCTGAGGCTATAACAAAGATTGTTAAAAATGAACAAAGATAGCATTTGTATCATTGGAATCCCACAAGAGAGGACAAAGTGTGGAGCTGAAGAAAGTATTTAAAGGAATCATGGCTGAAAATTGACTAAATTTGGCAAAAGACACAAACCTACAGACTCAAGATGCTGAGCTAACCTCAAACAAGAGAGGCCCAAAGAAATCCACACAATGACACATCACAGTCAAATTCCTGAAAACCAAAGACAAAGCAAAGATTTTTTTTTTTTTGAGACGGAGTCTTGCTCTGTTGCCCAGGCTAGAGTGCAGTGATGCAATCTCAGCTCGCTGCAACCTCCGCCTCCATCTACCAAGTAGCTGGGACTATAGGCACGTGCCACCACACCCAGCTAATTTTTGTATTTTTTTAGTAGAGACGGGGTTTCACCGTATTGGCCAGGCTGGTCTCGAACTCCTGACTTCATGATCCGCCTGCCTCGGTCTCCCAAAATGCTGGGATTACAGGCGTGAGCCACTGCGCCCAGCCAGCAAAGATCTTTCTTTTGAGACAGTCTCACTTTGTCACCCAGGCTGGGGTGTAGTGTGATCCCAGCTCACTGCAGCTTCCACTTCTTGGGCTCAAGCAATCCTTCTGCCTCAGCCTGCCCAGTAGCTGGGACTACAGGCGTGCATCACCACACCTGGCTACTAAAAAAAAATTTTTTTTTTTTGGCCAGGCATGGTGGCTCACGCCTGTAATCCCAGCACTTTGGGAGGCTCATGCAGGTGGATCACTTGAGGTCAGGAGTTCAAGACCAGCCTGGCCAACATGGAGAAACCCCATCTCTGCTAAAAAATACAAAAAAAAGCTGGGTGTGGTGGCACAGGCCTGTAGTCCCAGCTACTTAGAAGGCTGGGCAGGAGAATTGCTTGAACCCGGGAGGTGGAGGTTGCAGTGAGCTGAGATTGTGCCACTGCACTCCACTGGGCAACAGAGTGAGACTCCATCTCAAGAAAAAAAAAATTTTTTTTGTAGAGATAGGGTCTTGCAGTGTTGCCCACGCTGGTCTTGAACTTCTTGTCTCAAGCAATCCTCCTGTCTCGGCCTCCCAAAGTGCTGGGATTACAAGTGTGAGCCACCATGCCTGGCACAGAAAAGATTTTGAAAGCAGAAAGAGACTATGAACTCCTTACTTACGAGGGAGAGATCATTCAAATGACAGTGGATTTCTCATCAGAAACTACGCAGGCCAGTAGGAAGCAGCACATTTTCAAGTGCTGAATAAAACGAAGTGTCAACCTGGAATTTTATATCCACAGAATTCAGAAGTGAAGAGGAAACTGAGACATTCTCAGATGAAGGAAAACAAAGACAATTTATAGCCAGCAGACCTATCCTAAGAGAATAACTAAAGGAAGTCCTTGAAATAGAAAAAAAATAAAAGAGGGAACTTTGGAATATTAGGAAGGAAGAACAAACAATGGAAAGAGTAAACACAACATTTTTCTTTTTCTTTTTTTTTTGAGACCAAGTCTCACTCTGTTGCCCAAGCTGGAGTGCAGTGGTGAGATCTCGGCTCACTGCAACCTCCACCTCCTGGGTTCAAGCGATTCTCCTGCCTCAGCCTCCCAAGTAGCTGGGATTACAGGCACGTGCCACCATGCCCAGCTAATTTTTGTATTTTTAGTAGAGACGGGGTTTCACTATTTTGACCAGGGTGGTCTTGAACTCCTGATCTCGTGATCCTCCCACTTCAGCCTCCCAAAGTGCTGGAATTACAGGCGTGAGCCACCATGCCTGGCCCAGATTTTCCTTTTTCTCCAGAGATTTAGAAATTACGTTTATTGCAGTGTCACAGCTCTTTTATAATTTGTCTAGCAGGTTTTCTGGTTCTTCACAAGAACCCCTCCTCAAAAAAATTATGTTTGTTGATTGAAACAAAAATCTTAACATTGCTGGTGTGATTCTCTATATATAGAGAGGATACATTTAAGACGATTACATGATAGATGAGAGAGGGAACAGGGACGTAACCATGTTGCCACACCAACAGACCACCAGTTAATTAGGAGTACATAACGTTTCCTTTTATCTTTTTTTTAAATTTTTTTAAAATTTTTTTGAGACAGAGTCTTGTTCTGTCACCCAGGCTGGAGTGCAGTGGTGTGATCTTGGGTTCAACCTCCACCTCCCAGGTTCAAGCGATTCTCCTGCCTCAGCCTCCTGAGTAGCTGGGATTACACGTGCATGCCACTACACCCGGCTAATTTATGTATTTTCAGTAGAGATGGGGTTTCACCATGTTGGCCAGGCTGGTCTTGAACTCGACCTCAAGTCATCTGCCTGCCTCAGCCTCCCAATGTGCTGGGATTACAGGAGTGAGCCACTGTGCCCTGCCTTAAAGTTTCCTTTCAAAATTAAGATATTTCCCTATTCTATACAAATATAATTTGATATGGTTTTGTTTATTTTTATTTTTTATTTTTTTGAGATGGAGTCTCACTCTGTCACCCAGGCTGAGTACAGTGGTGCAATCCCAGCTCACTGCAACCTCTTTTTCCTGGGTTCAAGCAATTCTCCTGCCTCAGCCTCCTGAGTAGCTGGGACTACAGGCACGTGCCACCACACCCGGCTAATTTTTGTATTTTTAGTAGAAATGGTGTTTTGTCATGTTGGCCAGGCTGGTCTTAAACTCCTGACCTCAGGTGATCCACCTGCCTTGGCCTCCCAAAGTGCTGGGATTACAGGCATGAGCAACCATGCCTGGCCAATTTGATACGGTTTTGAAAAAAAATAGTACAACCTAAAAACTGGTGAAATGATTCTGTTTCACTCAGAAAGTAAAATAATATATGATAAAATTTTCATAAATATTTTTTAGAGAGGAAAAAACCCAAAAATGCCAGATTCTAAGTCACATCACTCCAGTGTTTTACATATCACTTAGAGTAAATGTATACAACAGCCTAAAAGACCACCAAGTGATCTTTTCTCCTGTCCCTTTCGTCTCCACCTCAGCCACACTCTCGCTATTTTTCTTTTCTGAGACAGAGTCTCCCTTTGTCACCTAGGCTGGAGTGCAGTGGTGTGATCTCCATTCACTGCAACCTCTGCCTCCCTGGTTCAAGTGATTTTCCTGCCTCAGTCTCCTGAGTAGCTGAGATTACAGGCACGTGCCACCATGCCTGGCTAATTTTTATTTTTTATTTTTTTCCGATACAGAGTCTTGCTCTGTCGCCCAGGCTGGAGTACCATGGTGCAATCTCAGCTCACTGCAACCTCCGCCTCCCAGGTTCAAGCAATTCTCCTGCCTCAGCCTCCTGAGTAGCTGGGATTACAGGTGCACACCACCATGCCTGGCTAAATTTTCTATTTTTAGTAGAGATGGGTTACACTATGTTGGCCAGGCTGGTCTCAAACTCTTGACCTCATGATCCACTTACCTAAGCCTCCCAAAGTGCTGGGATTACAGGCATGAGTCACCACACCCGGCCCTAATTTTTGTATTTTTAGTAGAGATGGGGTTTCACCACGTTGGCCAGGCTGGTGTCGAACTCCAGACCTCAAGTGATCCACCCTCCTCAGCCTCCCCAAGTGCTGGGATTACAGGAATGAGCCACCACGCCAGACCTACTCTGGCTATTTTTCAAGCAGAGAAAGCAGGCGCCCCCTCACGGCTTTTGCATTTGCTACACCCTCCTCCCAGAATACTCCCCTGAGATCTTCCCCCTCATAGTGCTGGATGAGAACGACCTGGCCTCTCACTCTAGTCCTGGAATCAGAGGCATGAAAAAGAAGATGAGCTGCTCCTTCCTCTTACCCTGAAAGCCCAGGTCCTCCCAGTGGTCTCCATGAAGGGCACAGTCAAACTTGGAGCCGGTCAGCTTCTTATAGATGGTCTGGAGGACTCGGCCATGCACTGGGTCTTGGCTATCCAGGCCACCTGCCCCAAAACACACCCACACTGTCTGCCAGATTGCCCCTCATGGGAGAACTGGGTGCTTCTCAGAGAATGTGAGATCTGGACTGTGCTCAAGACTTCCAATTCTCAGCTCCCAATCTCACCCGCCAACCACGGTACATGCAATATTCCTGGCTTAGCCTCAGCAACAGTATCAGCACACAGGGTCTTGCCTCACCGCAGATGCAGCAACTCCCCTGTGGGCTCACATTGCACTCACATTGAGCAATGGTCAGGACCAAGTCCCTTTCTTCCCGAAGGCCCTGGTGGAGCTTTGGAGGCCCGAAGAGGTAGTGTCGAAGGGCAGCGAGCCCAGTCCTTCGAATAGTTGGCTGGATTCTTTTCTGGGGAAGAAGTTGCAGGCAATGGGCAGAGTGTTGCTTCATCTCCCTTAACCAACTTCCCATCAGGCTCAGACCAGAGGCAGCGCTTGCAGAAAGGAATTCCCCCAGCTAGCTGGCTGGTCTTTGGGCCAGGGGAAGGAGGCAGAAGTTGCAAGGCACCTGTTGTCTCTAGAGCCGGGCTCTTCCAGCTCCCAGATTTTTTGCAAGGTGAAAGAGACATCCCCAAGGGTAGGTATTATCAGCCATTATTTGCATTTAGTCCTCTGGGCTTTTCCAGAACTAACTATTCCACTAACTCCCACAGAGGTTACACATGCCCAGCTCCCCCAGGCAGTCAGACAAATGCCAGGACAGGTTTCCCAGGAGGTGGGGATTCACTGGAGTTAGATGACTCTGAGGGGTAGCTGGGATCTTTTGGTCACAACCAGCACTTCCCAAGTGAGGTCATGTTGGCTTCTCATGGCCCAGGGTCACTACTGCAAGCCTTAGAACATTCTGATTTCGGTAGCTTTTGGCTCTCTGGGTCCTATAAAACAACTTGGTTCCTATCTTTTTAGCCTCTCTCCCCTGAGCCAGGATTTAAGTAGAAGACCTGAAATCACATTTATCTAAATGTATTGTTACTCAATATGTCCCAGAAAGCTCCCCAGTTTTTTTTTATTTTTTACAGAGACAGGGTCCTACTCTGTTGCCCAGGTGTGATCATAGCTTACTGTAGGTTTGAACTCCTGGGCTCAAGTGACCCCCTCACCTCAAACTCCTCCAAAAGTGCTGGTATTACAGGTGTGAGCCACTATGCCCAGCACCTAACCCACCCCTAGCATTTATTCCCCCAAATATTTCTTCTTTTTCCAACTTATATCTTTCTTAAATTCCTAAATAGCTTCTGGTTCCTTGAGGGAATGGAAGGTTTTCCTCCACTGGCCATGAATTACTCAGCTCCCTCAACAGTTAGCCTTGCCTAGTACTTGATTCTAGATGTCCCCATCCCTAAAAGGGAAGAGTGGAGAAACAGTTATACAGGCCCCTGAACAACAGGGCCACAGGAGCTGTAAGGGCACAGTCCCACAAAAGCTACCAAGGCCCCAAATGAAGTATGGGTCCTAGGCCACCCATGATCCTGGGCACCAAGATCTTAGGGGAGATTTGCTTGCCCAGTGCCCTATCCTGGTGGGACAGAAGCTTGGCTCCTGGGGAAAAGGCACTTTGCTTGAGGCTCCAAACCCTGCTACCATCATACCTTGAAGGAGGAAAGGTCCACAGTCTGGAAGTACTGCAGGGCCTCACTGAAGGAGATCAGCTGCCCAGGCTGCTCTGAGTTAGCCTGGCTCCCTGTGGAAAAAGGGAAGACATGCCAGGATTTATAGGAGTCATTCTGTCAGCAAACATTTACTGAGGTCCTCCTACTTGTCACCTCCAAGCCAAGCACTGACTTTCAGTTGAACATCAGACACCTACAGCTACAACCAATCTTCTTTCAAGAGGCTGGCATTATCTGCGAAGATGACTCTCTTTTTGGACTAAGCTATTCAGTCGTGCTAGGCCAACCTCTGCAGTGAGTATGGGGCAGATCTGCCGCACAAGGCGATCCCTAAATTCTCTCATCTGTGAGGGGGCAAGTCACTGCCTGGGGTGGGTACCCACATAAGAGCATGCAACTAGTTTGTTTAGGGGCCTTTCCTAATTTCCACTCTTCCCTTCTTACATCCTGTACAGGAACCCCCAACCACACACCTCTGTTATAGCCAATAGGGAATTAACTGATCAGTTAGCAATATAGGTGATGGCTGATACTATTCACTGGCCCCAGGAGCTCAATAGAGGCTCAGGCTAGATATAAGTCCTAGTTCTATTGCTTCATCCAAACCTCTTAGAAAGAAACAGGAGACAATTTTTATTCAGCCTTCAGAGCCTTCCAGCAGACTGCTTCAGCTCCCATCCCCAGGGATTTCCTTGTGCAGTAAACAACCTGAGCAGCCTCACACAGGGGCCCTGTCTCCATCCTCCTGCCCAACCTCGCCACTCTGTAGAAGCTGCCCTAACCAAGGTCAACCCTGTCTTCTCTCACGGCTGGGTGGAAGATGGACAGGGATGGCAGCCCTTTCTCCATGGCCTTCACTCTGGTTTCCTCCATAGATAGGATATCATCATATTCGGATTTGAAAAAGATATTGTAATCTATGTTATATAGTTAAAATGAGCACTCTTAGGAATTCTGTCTCCTAGTCCCAGACTCACAGAAACATTTGCCATATGTGTGAATGTTGCCTTTGCTGGCAGAGGGGCTATGGGGAGACAGCAGCATTCCTACAGTTACCTGTCTCTGGCTGGATGGTGTCCACAGCTTCCCATTCTTCTTGGGCTCTGACCACCTCTGTACTCACAACTGCAATAGTGGGAGAAAAGGAGACCCTCTGAGATCTAAGTATGTCTGGGCCTCTACTGCAGACCCCAGCCTTGTCTGCCTGCCTTGGGCCTAATTTTTTTTTTAAGAGATGGGGTTTCACTGTGTTGCCCAGACTGGAGTACGGTGGCTATTCACAGGTATGATCCCACTATTGATCAGCACAGGATTTTTGAACTGCTCCATTTCTGACCTGGGCCAGTTCACCCTTCCTTAGGCCATCTGGTGGTCCCCCACTCTTGGGTGGTCCCCATATTGATGCTGAACTTAGTGGGGCCACCTGATCAGCACAGCACACTACAGCCCAGAACTCCTGGACTCAAGCAATCCTCCTGCTTCAACCTCCTGAGCACCTGGGACTACAGGCATGTACTACCACATCCAGCTGCCTTGGGTCTTAACACCCTCTGATCCTCTCCTCACAGGTTTGCTAGAGTGAGCTTTTGAAAAGTAAGATCGGGCCAGGCGTGGTGGCTCATGCCTGTAATTCTAGCACCTTGGGAGGCCGAGGCGGGCGGATCACAAGGTCAGGAGATCGAGACCATCCTGGCTAACACAGTGAAACCCCGTCTCTACCAAAAATACAAAAAATAAGCCGGGCATGGTGGCAGGCGCCTGTAGTCCCAGCTACTCCAGAGGCTGAGGCAGGAGAATGTGTGAACCCAGGAGGCAGAGCTTGCAGTGAGCAGAGATCGTGGCACTGCACTTCAGCCTGGGCGACACAGCGAGACTCCGCCTTAAAAAAAAAAGAAAAGTAAGATCAGACATCACTGCTCAAAACCCTCCAGGGATTCTCCATAGTCCTCAAGATAAAACCCATACTCTACAGCACAGTACCCACATAACTTCACGATCTACAGATGGTTCCTAACTCGTGACAGTTCCACTTATAATTGTTTGACTTTTAGATGGATTTATCAGGATATTAAATGCATTTTTCTTTTCTTTTCTTTTTGTTTTTAAATTTTTTGTTTTTTTAAAGGCTAGTCAGGTGAAGAAGTGGGAGTGGAGAAGGAACAGAAACATCTGTAACTGGTTGTGATCAATTCGTTGTAAACATCATTCTACTCGGACCAGCCTTAAATGCACTTTCGACTTATATTTTTTGCTTCCAAATGGGTTTATTGGGATGGAAGTTCACCTTAACTCGAGGAACATTTGTAGATTCTTCTTACCTCTCTAGCTTTGCCCCAGGGCCATCCAGAACTACCTGAAGTTCCTCCATGTGCTCTGCCCTCTCCCACCCTTGCTGCCTTTTCACAGACTGCTCTCCCTCTGCTGGAATCAAGACTCCAGGCACTGCCACCATCAGTTCCAACCCCTGCTGGTGCAGCTCCTTCTCATTCTTCAGTTAGCTCTGACACCATCCTCTCCTGGATGCCTTCTTTGATCTCATGGGTCCAGATGAGGGGTCACTGCTCTGTGAGACCCTGACAACCCGTGCTTATCATAGACTAGTCATTGTTTCTCCTGCTCCATGGTGAGCTACATAGGGCCAGGTTTTCCAGAGCCTAGCACAGAGCTTGACACATAATAGGTGCTCAACAAATGTCTGATGAATGAATGAATGAATGAAAGCAGAATACAAGGGGGAGAAAAAAAGCAGAAGGATGGGCTTTCTAGAGCCACCACCCAGCCCTTTTCTCCAAACCAGAGCTGTCACTCTCTGGCTCAAACTGCTAGCGGCATCTTCTGTCACTGACTTTTCCAGTTTGCTACAGAGGACATCAACAATGTGAAGGATGGAGAGACTCCAGTTTAATACCAAAAATATGACCTCTCCAGCCTCAGTGGTAAAGTAGGTTAGGACAGCTCCTCTCTGCCTCACAATCTTGGCTGAGGACATCACATGGCAATAAATTGTAGGGAGAATATACCTGCAGATTAAATGAAATGCTACCAGACACTAATAGATAATAAGGAAGAGAAAGCGGCTGGGAAGCAGTAGAGGATAGTTACTGAAAGTACACTTGAGAGCCAAACTACATGTGAATGCTTCATCTCTGCCTCTTACTAGCTGTATGTCTTCAAGCAAGTTACTTATCATCTGTAACCCCTCATGGGGCTGTTGTGAGGATAGGGTAATTCTTCTACTTACTAGGACAGCATGTGGCCCAAAGGTAAGCCACTATCATCAACACAGGTGTGGGCTCAGGTCCAGCACGGCAATGGCCAGAGGCAGTGGGTGAGATGGGTCCAGGGTCCTAAATGTCTGGACCTCTAGGAAATTCCATCTCACCCGCTCCACTCCGGAGTAGCAGACACTGAGCCTTGGAGTTTCTAAGACAGCTTTAAGAGAATATTCGACCTTGGATGATCAAGAAAATAAAACTTGCTTTCAGCATAACAGCTAAAAAGGAGGGACAAAGTGGCTGAACACAAAGGGAAGAGAAGGCTGGATGCAGTGGCTCACGCCTGTAATCCTAGCACTATGGGACGCTGAGGTGGGTGGATCATCTGAGGTCAGGAGTTCGAGACCAGCCTGGCCAACATGGTGAAACCGTCTCTACTAAAAAAACAAAAAACAAAAAACAAAGAAACAAAAAAATTAGCTGGGTACAGTGGTGGGTGCCCGTAATCCCAGCTAGTTGGGAGGCTGAGGCAGGAGAATCACTTGAACCCAGGAGGCAGAGGTTGCAGTGAACCAAGATTGCGCCATTGCACTCCAACCTGGGCGGCAAGAGTGAGACTCTGTTTCAAAAAAAAAAACGGGGTTAGGGGATGAGTAGAACAGCAGGACGCAATGCTTATTGTGAAGTTGAACAGGATCCTTCACCCTTTTACCTTCATGCAGCTTTATTGATTTATTAATTCTTCACCTGTCAGAGCCTCATGTACCAGCAACTTAACCAATCCCTCCCCAACCCCATACGCCCTTGCCAACACACAGCTTGATCAAAGTCTGTGAGCCAGGAGCAGGAACCACAGTGGCAAGGGGGTGAGAATATGCTATCAAAACAGGTTAGTCAGCAAAAGTTCAAGGTTTCCACCAGCAATAGCAAGCTGGTGCCTAAAAACACAAATGCCCAAACCACATTAAGAGCTTCTTCTCCTTTTCTCTTGGAACGAGGCAGACGCTTCCTACGTGTGACATAAATACTGTTTTCCCCGACCAACAGAAGAACACAAGGGCAAAGGACAAATATTCAGGATAATTAACACAGCTCATATTAATTCAGTTATCTTTTTTCCTTTTTATAATTGTCTCCTTTATTTCAGCTCTCTTCCACTTACTCATATAGTCAACAGCACTGCCAATTGAGTCAGCTTATTAATTCTTTTTTTACATTTTTATTTATTTATTATTATATTATTATTATTTTTTTGTGTTGCCCAGGCTGGAATGCAGTGGTGCGATCTCGGTTCACTGCAACCTCTGCCTCCTGGGTTCAAGCGGTTCTCCTGGCTAATTTTTGTATTTTTAGTAGAGAACTCCTGACCTCATGATCCGCCTGCCTCAGCCACCCAAAGTGCGGGGATTACAGGTGTGGGTCACTGTGCCCAGCCTACATTTATTTTTTACTTTTTTTTTTTAGTTAGCCAGAGACATAGGCACATGCCACCATGCCTGTAATCCCAGCATTTTGAGAGGCCAAAGTGGGAGGATCATTTGAGCCAGGAGTTTGAGACCAGCCTGGGCAACATAATGAGACCGTCTCTACATAAAATTTTTAAAAAATTAGCTAGGCATGGTAATGCACACCTGTAGTCCCTGCTGGAGCCCAGGAGTTCAAGGCTGGAGTGAGCTATAATCACATAACTACACTTCAGCCTGGACAACAGAGCGAGACCCTGTCCCTGGGAGGGGGGAAATATATATATATATGCATTTAAACTAAAAATTATTAATATATTAATGCTGGGTTTGTCACTATAAACATAAAATTCCCTTAAAAGAAACTTCACAGATGTCCAAATGATGTTCCTATATTAGAATGTTTTTTAGCTATGCATAGAAGCTCACACTTACATTCCCAGATACTTAGGAGGCTAAGGTGAGGATCAGCCTGAGCAACACAGCAAGAACCTGTCTCTTTTCTTTTTTTTTTTTTTTTGAGATGGAGTCTTGCTTTGCTGCCAGGCTGGAGTACAGTGGCACGATCTCGGCTCACTGCAACCTCTGCCTCCCAGGTTCAAGTGATTCTCCTGCCTCAGCCTGCTGAGTAGCTGGGATTACCGGCATGCGCCACCACGCCCAGCTAATTTTTGTATTTTTAGTAGAGACGGGGTTTAACCATGTTGGTCAGGCTGGTCTTGAACTCCTGACCTCGTGATTTGCCTGCCTCGGCCTCCCAAAGTACTGGAGTTACAGGTGTGAGCCACTGTGCCCGGCGAACCTGTCTCTTAAAAAAAAAAAAAAATTAGCTAGGCCTGGTGATACACAGTTACTCAGGAGATTGAGGTGGGAAGACTGCTTGAACCCACAAGTTCTATGATTGCACCACTGCACTCCAGCCTGGGGGACAGAGCAAGGCCCTGTCTCTAAAAAAATATATATTATTTTTTTAAAAGTTCATATTTCTAGTGGCCAGGTATGGGTGCAGTGGTACAATCTTGGTTCACTGCAACCTCCATCTTCTGGGTTCATACAATTCTTGTGCCTTAGCCTCCAGAGTAGCTGGAATTACAGATGCATACCACTACACCTGGCTAATTTTTAAAATATTTTTAGTAGAGATGGTGATGTGGTTTGGCTCTGTGTCCCCACCCAAATCTCACCTTGTAAATCCCATAATTTCCATGTGTTGTGGGAGGGACCTAGTGGGACATAATTGAATCATGGGGGCCAGTCTTTGCTGTGCTGTTCTCATGACAGTGAATAAGTCTCACAAGATCTGATGGTTTTAAAAACAGGAGTTTCCCTGCACAAGTCCTCTCTTCGCCTGCCACCATCCATGTAAGATGTGACTTGCTCCTCCTTGCCTTCTACCATGTTTGTGAGACCTCCCCAGGTATGTGGAACTGTAAGTCCATTAAACCTCTTTTTCCTCCCAGTCTTGGGTATGTCTTTATCAACAGCATGAAAACAGACTAATACAATGGGGTTTCACCATGTTGGCCAGGTTGGACTGTACCTTTCTCCGTAATCACTTGGCAAGTGAAGTGAACTTAAATATAGTATGGGGAAGCGCCTTGCAAAGCAGATAAAGTAGAACAACTTTTCAAAGGATTTTCCCATATGGTGTCTCATTTTCATAACATCCCTTTGAGGATAAGGGAGGTACTAATATGAGAGATCATATGGCTTGCCCAGAGGCACAGAGTAAACCACTAGCAGTGGAAGATCAGAACTCAAGTCTTTTGATTCCTAATTCAGTGTTGATTCTACTTTTCCCCAACGAATGATAAATCTACAAAATTCTGAAAGACAAGTAGTGAGAGAAATTCAAATGATGAACAGCAGATCCATGGGAAAGTCTGACTTGGGTCCCACCCAGACTCCAAGGGCCCTACCCAGACTCCAAGGGCCCTGAAGGGAACCTTACCATGTGGCTCCCATTCATTAGCTTCTGTGGTCAGAGCCTGGAGAATGCCATGGTTCTTCAACTCTGAGATCTGTAGAGGCAGCTGACCTTTAGTGTGAGGATAGAATCCACATACCCCCATATACACAAACACTTCCCATCCACTGTACTGAATGTCCTTGACACTGGAGGCCAAAAGGATCTAGTGTGCCCTGATGGGGTGACTGAAGTCAATTTTATTTTTTTTACTTTTTATTTATTTACTTTCTGAGATGGAGTCTCACTCTGTTGCCCAGGCTGGAGTGCAGCGGCCTGATCTTGGTTCACTGCAACCTCCACCTCCTAGGCTCAAATGCTCCTCCCATCTCAGCCTCCCGAGTAGCTGAGAATACAGGTGTGGATCACCACACCCAGCTAGTTTTTGTATTTTTTTTTTTTTTTTTTTTTTTTTTGAGACGGAGTCTCGCTCTGTCGCCCAGGCTGGAGTGCAGTGGCCGGATCTCTGCTCACTGCAAGCTCCGCCTCCCGGGTTCACGCCATTCTCCTGCCTCAGCCTCCCGAGTAGCTGGGACTACAGGCGCCCGCCACCTCGCCCGGCTAGTTTTTTGTATTTTTTTTAGTAGAGACGGGGTTTCACCGGGTTAGCCAGGATGGTCTCGATCTCCTGACCTCGTGATCCGCCCGTCTCGGCCTCCCAAAGTGCTGGGATTACAGGCTTGAGCCACCGCGCCCGGCCTAGTTTTTGTATTTTCAGTAGAGATGGGGTTTCACTGTGTTGGCCAGGCTGGTCTTGAACTCCTGACCTCAAGTGATCCGCCTGCCTCAGCCTCCCAAAGTGCTGGGATTACAGGCATAAGCCACTGTGCCTGGCCTTGAAATCAATTTTAAATTGAGGTACCTGGAAAACTTCAACTATGATGTGGAAGTTGGGTGATGTTGGGGACAAGTGTATGTCCACCTTGAATGTAAATAAACAAAAATTCATACACTCATTTCAGACTGTGGTATGCCTTTGGTATTTTCTCTGCATTTTATAGCCTGCTTCATTATAGCAATTATCTTATTAAATAGAAGTTGTTTTGTATGTTTGTATTCCATACACCCTCCCCTCACTCCCCTCAAGTGTGAGCTCCTGGAAGTTAAGGTCTACGCCACCCTTGTGTCCCCAGTGTCTAGCATAGTTCTGGCACCACACGGTAACACACAACAAAAGCCCTGGCAGAAGGTACCAAGGTGTGGGGGATACGTACAGGGATTCCTCTGAAAGCCAGAACACTCTTGTTGTTGTCATATGATGGAGAATATCCAGCAGACATTCTTTCGCCCTGTAAAACAGACAAGGGTCAATCTCCCAGGCACATATTAATCCCCCAAAGATAACAGTTTAAATGCCATACCTTTTTTTTCTTTAACTTTTAAGTGCAGGGGTACATGTGCAAGTTTGTTACATAGGTAAACTTGTGTCACAGGGGTTTGTTGTACAGGTTATTTCATCAGCCAGGTATTTGGCCTAGTACCTATTAGTTATTTTTCCTGATCCTCTCCCTCTTCCTGCCCTCCACTTTCCAATAGGCCCCAGTGTGCATTGTTCCCTTCTGTGTGTCCATGTGTTCTCATCATTTAGCTCCCACTTATAAGTGAGGATATGTGGTATATAGATTCTGTTCTGTGTTAGTTTGCTAAAGATAATGGCCTCCAGCTCCATCTGTGTCCCTGCAAAGGTAAATGTCGCACCTTTTCCCAGTACCACAAAAAAAGGTTGAACTCCAGAGATATCAACCATAATGTATAATGTAAAGGAAAACTTCTATTTAATCTGGTCCTAAGAAAAACTGCAAAAAGCTTAGTTACTGTTATCTCAAAAGTTTTATACCGATTTCCTGGCTCTTTAAAGTCTGAGGGTTCTGAGTGAGTGAAGTTTAGTGAAGCAGTTTGCTATGGCCTTTCTGCTCAGCCAAACCTATCCCCTGCTACAGATTAAAAACAAAAAAATGACCAAAATACTCAGCCAATCGTTTGTAACTCATTTCACAGATACAGAACTAATTTTTCAATGTGTTCTTTTAAAATCCTAAAAATCACCAGGTGTAGTGGCTCACAGCTATAATCCCAGCACTTTGGGAAGCTGAGGCAGGAGGATTGTTGAGCCCAGGAGTTCAAGAGCAGCCTGGGCAACATGAGGAGACCCTGTCTCTACTGTTTTTTTTAAAAAAAACCATCATTTCTACAGTTCGTTACTAGAGAAGTTTCTCTGAACATATAGAGCACCGCAAAGTATCATGTATCTAAAAAAACCATATGGCATCGTTGAAAAGAAGCCCAGAATATTCCCAGGTGATACAATTCTGCAGACTGGGGAAGTAATTCTACCAATGAAAGAATTTCCTGATCAACATCATTAAAGATTATATAAAAATTTAAAAGACTTATGAGCCTAAGTTTCTTCCTGTATTACCATATTTACTGAATTTTCTGGAAAAGTACCTTTAATAAAGTTTAATCTCAGATAAAAAAAAAATCATTAAGGCAAAAAAGAAAAACCAGCCGGGCACGGTGGCCCACGCCTGTAATCCTAGTACTTTGGGAGACCAAGGCAGGAGGATCTCTTGAGGTCAGGAGTTCAAGACCAGCCTGGCCAACATGGTGAAACCCAATGTCTACTAAAAAGTACAAAAATTAGCTGGGTGTAGTGGCACATGCCTGTAATCCCAGCTACTCAGGTGGCTGAGGCACGAGAATTGCTTCAACCTGGGAGGTGGAAGTTGCAGTAGGCTGAGATTACACCACTGCACTCCAGCCTGGGCAACAGAGTGAGACTCCGTCTCAAAAAAAAAAAAGAAAAACCAACCCAGTGGAAACATTAGAAAAAGGATACAGACGGTTTACGCAAAAGGTAACCCAAATGGTGGTTTTTCTTTTCTTCTTTTGAGATGGAGTTTTGCTCTTGTTGCCCAGGCCGGAGTGCAATGTCGCAATCTCAGCTCACCGCAACCTGTGCCTCCTGGGTTCAATCAATTCTCCTGCCTCAGCCTCCTGAGTAGCTGGGATTATAGGCATGCACCACCACGCCCGGCTAATTTTTAGTAGAGACGGGATTTCTCCATGTTGGGTTTTTTTTTTTTTTTTTTGAGATAGAGCCTCGCTCTGTTGCTCCACCTGGGACTGCACGATCATGGCTCACTCACTTCTTGGCTCAAGGGATTCTCCCACCTCAGCCTTTCAAGTAGCGGGGACCACAGGTGCACACCACCATGCCCATGTAGTCATGGGGTCTACATATGGTTGCTCAGGCTGGTCTCAAATTCTGGGCTCAAGCCACCTTGGCATCCCAAAGTGCTGGGATTACAGACACGAGCCATCCTGCATAATCACAAATTGGTTTTAAACATATGAACAAATGTTCAACCTCATTCATTAAAACAAACAAACAAAAAAACACGTCGCCGGGTGTGGTGGCTCACGCCTGTACAATCCCAGCACTTTGGGAGGCTGAGGTGGGTGGATCACCTCAGGTCTGGAGTTCAAGACCAGGCTGGCCAACGTGGTGAAACCCCGTCTCTACTAAAAATACAAAAAAGTAGCTGGGCGTGGTGGCACGCACCTGTAATCCCAGCTACTCGAAAAACTGAGGCAGGAGAATCACTTGAACCCGGGAGGCAGAGGGTGCAGTGAGCCAAGATGGTGTCATTGCACTCCAGCCTGGGCAACAGAGAAAGACTCCATCTCAAAAAAAAAAAAAAGTCATGTAAAACTACTGTTTTATTAGTCAGATTATCAAAGATCGAAAAGTCTGATAACATGTACCTTGACTAGAGTGCACAACACACTGGAGATTAAACTATTACCACCCCTACAGCTTGACAGTACCTAACAAAATCATACATGTTTTGTATATGTGGGGCCTGATACTGCATTCTAGTAATTTATCTAACAGATATAATCATCCATGTGCAAAACGACATGTTTACATTTATAGTGTGATCCTTTGTCACATTGTTTATAATAGCGAAAGGCTGGAAAAACCTAAATGTTCACTAATGGGCTGATTACATAAATAAAAGCACATTCACTCAGTAAGATACTATATAGCCATAAAGACAAATAAGAAAGTGCTTTACAAGCAATATGGGACAATCTTCATGATGTGTTAGGTGAAAAAGCAAAGGACAAAGTCTATACACTATTTTACCATTTTATTTTTTAAAAGTACATAAGCACATTTGCTTGTCTCTGCAGAGACCATTTTCAGAGTTATACCCAAGGAAGCAGTAGCTTTGCCTCCAGCAGAAAAACTGAGTGGCTGGGGGACAAGGGTGGAAGGCGGTTTCTTCAGAATACGTATATCCTTCTGTACTTTTTGGATTTTGAACCATGTGAATGTATTATGCCAAAGCCCTGGAATCCCAGATCATCCTGTTACTCTAATCCTTCTGCTTTTTTTTTTTTTTTTTTTTTTCCCGTTTCCAACTAATGCTCATTAAGCATACCTTTCATTTCTTCATGTTCCAGAGCAAGGATGGAGGCCAAAACACCCCACAGCTAACCAAACTCCCTGGTAACGGAGCTCATGATGGCTAAACATTATGATTTCCCACTGTAATACAATCAACACACCTGCGGCAGATCCTCTCCTCACTTCCATTCCTTCATTCATGTAGTTTTCCTTCAGAATACACCTTCACCCTCTTCTCTGATCAAGGTCAATTCCACCTACTCAAGGCAACCTACCTGACTAGCTGGGGCTACAATGCTGTCTCATGCCCGTAAGTCCAGTAACCCTTGTATACAGCAAAAGTTCCTCTGCAAAAGGCCTGTAGAAGGACCTTCTCTTACATTTTTTTTTTTGTTTTCTTGTTTTTTTTTGGAGACAGGGTCTCACTTTGTCACCCAGGCTGGACTGCAATGGTGTGATCCCAGCTCACGGCAACCTCCACCTCCTGGGTTCAAGGAATTCTCTTGCCTCAGCTTCCTGGGTAGCTGGGATCACAGGCATGCACCACCATGCCCAGCTAATTTTGTATTTTTAGTAAAGACAGGGTTTCATCAAGTTAGCCAGGCTGCTCTCCAACTCCCGGCCTAGGGGATCCACCCACCTTGGCCTCCCAAAGTGCTGGGATTACAGGTGTGAGCCACTGTGCCCAGGCTCTTATATTTCTTTTATATGTTTCACACCCATTGGCACAGTACTAAGCACAAAATATTTGTCTCAAATTTTTGTTGAAATTTTATCTCTAAAATATTTGGTGATTCATTGTGCTGAACAACTTCCTGCAGGGGTCTGTGTACCTGGTATTCATTTCATCCTTCCTTTCCTTCTCCAATTCAGTCCCCTCCAGTGTCCAAAGACTTCCCTCTTTGGAACAGTTCACATCTTACTACAGTGAAGAAAATCTTTCTGGAGACCCAAAGCAAAGGCTTTGTCCCAGTCTGGCCACTGAATGCCACACCCACCATTTAAGACCATTTTTGGGTGGGCAAGGTAGCATGAAAGGTAAGGTATGTAGGGTTAGGTGCCCAGCTTATACAAAGACACATCACATCACATTGAACTGAGTCCTGAGGATGATCAGGCCAAAGCAAGCATTTCACAGGGAAGAGGCTAGTAAGGTAAATGATCCAAATCAATGAAATACAAATCAATTTCATTGAGGGTGATTTCTCAATGAAATTCTCCCCACTACCCAAGCAAAAAGAAAACAAAAATCTCATAACTCAGTCAGAAAACAAGCTATCAGGAAAAGCAATTGACCCTGAGGTGAATAGAAGCTCCTTCTTATCGAACAAAGAGAACTATAATGAGTGTTTCTAAATTTTTCTAAAGCTTCATATTCTCTTAAGATATTCTTACTATACTTAACGATATATCTCAAACCAACATCATCTTTCCCAAATAAGAGTGCATGCTTACCTGTCTATCTCTGAATTCATTCATGACTCAAGCAAGATTTTTCATTCATGACTCAAAATCATTTGTTCATGTGAGCTTTGTCTTTGGGCCCAGAAAGGGTTTTAATAAGGTCTGAGATCAGAAGCTATGTGGAGAGCCAGAGATCCAGTTCCTCTACCTTTGCCTTCCTTCTTGGCAGTCACTCAGACTAAGAGTAAGAAAATGGTCCCTTTGTGCCATCTGAGGGTGTAGGAGGTTTCTGTGAGTACTGAGAGAAGTCCCCTGAGGTCTTTGAAGCCTCGGCTCTGCCCAAAAGAAAAAAAGGACATTGAAAAAGAAAACTGGTTTCATCATTCAGTTATGCCTCTGCTGACAATTTTTTTTTTTTTTTGAGATGGAGTCTTGCCCTGTTGCCCAGGCTGGAGTGCAGTGGTGCGATCTCGGCTCACTGCAACCTCTGCCTCCCGGGTTCAAGCGATTCTCCTGCCCCAGTCTCCCAAGTAGCTGGAATTACAGGTGTGTACCACCACACCTGGCTAATTTTTCTATTTTCAGTAAAGACGGGGTTTCACTATGTTGTAGGCTGGTCTCGAACTCCTGACCTCGTGATTCACCTGCCTCGGCCTCCCAAAGTGCTGGGAATACAGGCGTGAGCCAACGCGCCCGGCCTGTTGACAAAATTTAAGCAGCTGTGAATTTATTCTGAATGAACGAGTTGCCCCAGCCAAATGCTTCCCTCTTACTACCCATGCCACAGGACGGCAAAAAGGGAACCATGCAGGGGTCTGTGGGCTGGATTCTGTGCCCAAAAGGCAGCAACACCACTAGAAGGGATGGGGTCTGTTTCTGACAATGGAGTTACTGGCACCTGGGCCAGCTTATCAAAGGGGTTAGGCTAAAGGTGGCAACTTGGTGGGTCGTCTTAGCTGAAGTGCTCAGGCTTTGTTTAGGCCTCACACACAGGTTGGGTCTGGGGCTGATAATACTAGACCTGGTTCCAACGATGGTAGAAATTCAAAATGCAACACAATGTTCTAACCTTTCTCAGTTATCACCAACACTGTACATGTGGCAGTACAAACTGGCTAGCCAGTTTGGGCAACTCTAAGTCTTTCATCTGACATTGCTTCCCTGAGGAAAAGGGCTGGACGAGGCTCATACCCCATCACGGGGGAATTGGACATCTGGGATGTCTGTCACATCAAAAATTGCATCCTAAGTGGGCAGATGGCCCACATACAACTGACAATCATAGTTCACAGGCTTGGGTGACTAACGAAGGAGGGTAGCCTCTCTACGAGTTCAGCCCTCCACTGTGGTAATAATGATCAGGATTCCATAAGAACTGGCTGCTGGTGTCAGGATGCTTTGATTACTAACACTGAGAGGAAGAATACCTCCTGGCTCTTGGGCTGGACATGTGGCTCATTGTAATCCTGGGGGCAGGACAGTGCCCCCTTAGTCTTGGCACCTCAGGAACTGAACTGTTCTCACTGTGGCCTTTGGGGCCTCAACATCTGCCCCCCCTTTCCTTTTCCTCCACCATGGCCTCCATGACAGCCTATGCCAAAACACACATTGGCCAGCCTTGGCAAGATGACAGGCGGGTATGGTAATAGCAGTCTCAGGAAGGCTCTTCTGTTGCTGTGTAGAAAATGAACCAAGTAGCGTAGAATCGTGACCAGTTTTCCACATCTGGCTGGACTACTCCTGGGGCCTTCAGTAGGGACAGTCACTGTCTGTATCAGAGAAGAAAAGAGCAACAACTGTCAAAAAAGGAAGTACTCAAAGGCAAGTTCCTGATAGTTGGACCTAAGTTAACAGCCTTCCTATAAAAATGGATCCTTCTCAAATCAAGTATTCATTGTGCATCCACTTTAGGCAAGGAGGGGGTATGATTCTTCAACTGCTTGCTGGAGGTTAGACTCTCTGCATAGGAATTTAAATTAGACCGGCCCTTCGCTGATCCTTTCACCGTGCTCGTCCGTAGGCGGCTCCCCGTCCCCCAGGTTCCCCACGGATGGGGTGTCATTAGGGACCCGCCATAAAGGACTCTGTCCGAGGCAGGCTCCCAGGACAAAACTATGGGCCATGTTGAGGGGCACAGAGCCACAGGCTCACCGGCTGTGATGCGCAGAACAGAGATTTCAATTCAAGATACCCAGTCAGACAGGGGTTGTGTGCGGACTTTGGACAGAACTTTCGCATTGCCTGGAGGCGTAAGAGGAGGAAAGCAATTTAACACCTCAGGGCAGCGAGTCCAGGGCAGAGCCAGGACCAGAACTCAAGACTCCTGTCTCCCAGTCGGGATTCTCTTTCAGTCTTACAACTCTAGGCCTTGTCTCGCCCTGCAGTCATCGTTTCCACCGGATCACATTCTCCCTCCCTCCTCAGGCCGGCTGCTAGCTCCACAAAGGCACCAACCAGCTTATCAAAGGGGTTAGGGAGCTTAACAAAGGGGTTAACCCCTTGGCAGGTGTTAACGCGTTCTCACCCTTAACACAGCTTTCCAAACTTGGAGATCCCGCCGCCTCTGCTAGGCCTCATCTGCTCTTGCGCACAGGCCTCTTCCGTGCCGTCTCCCCTGGCCCCGAGAACTACACTTCCCAGTAGGCAATGGAAACCATGCGCTGCAAAAGAAATACGGGGAGCCGGGAGGGTCAATCGTCACCAGATTGCTGGCTTCTCGCTGGCTGGCTGGCTGGCTGGCTGGCTGGCTGGCTGGTTAATTAGTGCTCAAAGCTGCCTCCGCCTCCTGACTGAAGAGCGAATTAGCCCGGGCGGAGCCACAGTCCTAGAGGCTGAGCGCAGTCGGAGCTGTCCCATTTACCCGACCCGAGGCCGGCGAGATGTGGCTTCCGCTGGTGCTGCTTCTGAGCGTGCTGCTGCTGGCCGTCGTCTGCAAAGTTTACTCGGGACTGTTCTCTGGCAAATCCCCGAATCCTTTCTCCGAAGACGTCAAACGGCCACCAGCGCCCCTGGTAACTGACAAGGAGGCCAGGAAGAAGGTTCTCAAACAAGGTAGTAGGAGGGACCCTGGGATCCGGGGCTGCACTTCAGGCATTCTCACAGGTTTGGGTTCTCATTTTGCCAAGGCAGCCGCTACCAGACCCGGGCCTCAGTTTCCCCATATGTAAAGTACTGGGAGGGCTTCCTTGCACGGGGAGGAGCCCTGCTTTAGTGTCCGACACTTCTATAGCCTTCGCCCTAGCAGGCCCCGATAGCCTTCACCCTAGCAGGCCCCATAGCCTTCGCCCTAGCAGGCCCCGATAGCCTTCGCCCTAGCAGGCCCCGATAGCCTTCGCCCTAGCAGGCCCCATAGCCTTCGCCCTAGCAGGCCCCGGGAATAGTAGTCCCAAGGGCGCGGTGACTGTCCTTGGTTTGCAAGGTCTTGGCACCCGCCCTGCCACTTGTAATCCCGGCAGCTCACGGACCTGGTAAGAGACATTCCTCCACTTGGTTCCAGGACTTTAACTTTTTCACCTACCCTCCCATGAGAGCTCAGGGGTGTGGGGGACAACACAGAAATGTGTCCCAACTTGCATAGGAAATTGCATTTTGCCCGTCCGGTGATTTAACAGGCTTTGCATGGTCTCAAGTCGTAAGGATTGAACCCTAGTTCTGAAACTTTGGCAGAGATTCAACAGGGTGCCTCAGGCTCAGAGCCTGCTCTCCACTCTCATCTTTAAAACATATTTTGTGGTTGCTTCTAGGGTTTAAAGAGTTCTGCTGCTTTAAAAAATAATGGATCATCTGTTTGCTCTACAGAGTCCCTCTCACTTGTGCATTTTAGAATTCTCCGTGTCATATCTTGCTGCACAATCGGAGACAGTACTGTTCTAAGTGGAAGGACTAATCATCTGGACTTCCGAGAACTGAGTTTTAGTTTGAACTGTCACTAATTTGCTGCATAACCATTAGCACCTACCTGGGCTGGTCTAAAAATGAGATGACTAGTTTAACTGTTTTTCAAACCGCGTTGTGATCTATTAGTGGGCTCTGAAATCAATTTAGTGAGTTGCAACTGGCATTATTTATTGATTTATTGAAACAGAGTCTCGCTCTGTTGCCCATGCTAGGGTGCCGTGGTGCGATCTCTGCTCACTGCAACTTCCGCTTCCTGGGTTCAAGTGATTATCGTGCCTCAGCCTCCCGAGAGGTGTGCGTGCCCAGCTAATTTTTGTATTTTTAGTAGAGACAGGGTTTCAACATGTTGTCTAGGCTCTCGAACTCCTGGCCTCAAGCGATCTGCCCACCTTGGCCTCCCAAAATGTTGGGATATTACAGGCGTGAACCATCGTGCTGGGTCACAACTAACATTTTAGAATGCAGTAGAATAGAAAATATCAGAGTGCATGATACGTAGTTCCACTAAGTATTGCATTGTGAAACTTGTTTCATATATTTATCTTATATATTTACATATTAAATTTTTTTTTTACTATTGATCTCTCTAAAAACATTCAAAAAATAAGCAGTCTGCCAAGTTCTCTTGTATCTTGAAACATCCCAGATCTCAGTTCTTTGCCAGTGATTTAAAGAACAGATCTTGTGTTGGAAGTACCCGTATAGCACCACTTGCTATCCAGTTTTGTCTTCTGAGAAGGTGCTGCCTCCCTCAGCAATGCCCCCAGACCTTCCCTATGGGACGGGCTGGTGCTGTGATTTCTCAGAGCTGCAGCCTCTGAGCAGTTCTGTCCTGCCCAAGCCTTTCCATCAGGACCTGGAAGAGCCACCATAAGACCCAGCTACTCCACTGTTGCTTGCAGACCCTGCATCTTCCAAAGAAACCCGGCCTGTGGGCTGGGCATGGTGGCTCATGCCTGTAATCCCAGCACTTTGGGAGGCCGAGGTGGGTGGATCACTTGAGGCCAGGAGTTCAAGACCAGCCTGGGCAACATAGCAAGACTTTGTCTCTATAAAAAATAAAACAGGCCGGGCGCAGTGGCTCATGCCTGTAATCCCAGCACTTGGGGAGGCCGAGGCGGGTGGATCATGAGGTCAGGAGATCGAGACCATCCTGGCTAACACGGTGAAACCCCGTCTCTACTAAAAAGTATATATTAAAAAAAAAATTAGCCGGGCGTGGTGGCGGGCGCCTGTAGTCCCAGCTACTCGGGAGACTGAGGCAGGAGAATGGCGTGAACCCGGGTGGCAGAGCTTGCAGTAAGCGGAGATTGCGCCACTGCACTCCAGCCTGGGTGACAGAGCGAGACTCTTGTCTCAAAAATAAATAAAAATAAAAATAAAAATAAATTATCTAGGCATGGTGGCATGCACCCGTAGTCCTAGCTACTCGGGAGCCAGAGGCAGGAGGATTGCTTGAGGCCAGGAGTTCAAGGCTGCAGTGAGCTGTGATCACATCACTGCACTTCAGCCTGGGCCAGCGCGAGACCCTGTCTCAAAAAACAAAAACACAAAACCCCAAATCTGCCTGGCTGGTTCTGAGTATTCCCAGGTAAAATGTTTGAAACATGTTAGTCAAGAGTTCCATGCCAAACTGCTCGAGAGGTTTCTTGCACTGTACAAGCTAGAGAAGTCTTCTTTGGTTTCCCTATCTTTGCTATTTCCCTGCCCCTGCCTGAGAAACCCACCCTTTGGCCCTTCTGCTGTAGCTTTTTCAGCCAGCCGAGTGCCGGAGAAGCTGGATGTGGTGGTAATTGGCAGTGGCTTTGGGGGTCTGGCTGCAGCTGCAATTCTAGCGAAAGCTGGCAAGCGAGTCCTGGTGCTGGAACAACATACCAAGGCAGGGGGCTCCTGTCATACCTTTGGAGAGAATGGCCTTGAATTTGACACAGGTAAGGCTTGTGTGGAAAAGGGTTGGGAGCATGGCTATATGTTGAAGAGGCTTGGAGCAGCCCTTGTGGGGTGATACTGAGCATTTCTGTTGTTTTGGAAGTGCCGTCTTCTCTCTGGGCACTTTTTTTGTTTGTTTGTTTCAGACAGAGTCTCACTTCGTCACCCAGGCTGGAGCGCAGTGGTGTGATCCCAGCTTACTGTAACCTCCACCTCCTGAGTTCGAGTGGTTCTCATGCCTCAGTCTCCCGAGTGGCTGGGATTACACTCAGTAATCCCACCAAGTGGGCCACTACACCCTGCTAATTTTTTTGTATTTTAGTAGAGACGGGGTTTCTCCATGTTGGCCAGGCTGGTCTCGAACTCCTGACCTCAAGTGATCCACCTCCCTCAGCCTCCCAAAGTGCTGGGATTACAGGTGTGAGCCACCGTGCCCAGCCTCTGGGCACTTTTCTTATGTGACAGCATAGCTATTGGGAGTTGAGCCGGGCAGGGATCTGGTAGTTTCTGCTGTGACACCTCCCTACAGACAGGGTGGGCAGCTCACTCTGGGCATGAACTTGGCCAGGCCAGATAACCTCTTCCACCTCACTTCCTCAGCCACCTTTCCAGGGCTCAATTCTCGTATGCCTTTACTACCTTGTTTTTCCATCTCCCAACAGGAATCCATTACATTGGGCGTATGGAGGAGGGCAGCATTGGCCGTTTTATCTTGGACCAGATCACTGAAGGGCAGCTGGACTGGGTTCCCATGTCTTCTCCTTTTGACATCATGGTACTGGAAGGGCCTAATGGCCGAAAGGAGTACCCCATGTACAGTGGAGAGAAAGCCTACATTCAGGGCCTCAAAGAGAAGTTTCCACAGGAGGAAGCTATCATTGACAAGTATATAAAGCTGGTTAAGGTAACATGGACATGCTGAGGACCCAGAGTTTATTCCCGACAAGACTGACTTTCTTCATTATTAGTGGAGGCACTGGGGGTGGAGAGTGCAGTGGGGAGAGGCAGGAAGGGAGGAAGAGTCATATCTGTTCTTAGCTCAGCCTCCACCCGAGTTCATCCAGTTCTCTGTCTCTCTCTCTCTCTGGAGCCTTGACTGCACGGCTGCTGCTGTCCCCCTGGCCTCCAGGGATGCCCTGCTCTCCTCCCTGACTAGGCTGGCTTCCGTGACATCAGATCACTACTCCTTTTTACTCATCCGAGACCAGACTGGGATTTTTGAAAAGGAATTTGAGCAGGAAAATAAAAAGTAAAAGAAGGACTCATCCAAGTGTAGGACAGGAAAAATTCACAGAGTATAGATTTTTTTTAAAATTCAAATTCAGCAAAGTTCAGTCAAGGGTAAGTGTTGCTGGATCCTCCGGCTGGTCCAGGCTATGGGGATAGCAGTTCTGTCACAGCGGTTCCAGAGGTGAGGCCTGCTCTCCTCATTCACTCCCCCAGGTGGTATCCAATGGAGTCACTCATGCCATCCTGTTGAAGTTCCTCCCATTGCCCGTGATTCAGCTCCTCGACAGGTGTGGGCTGCTGACTCGTTTCTCTCCATTCCTTCATGCATCCACCCAGAGCCTGGCTGAGGTCCTGCAGCAGCTGGGGGCCTCCTCTGAGCTCCAGGCAGTGCTCAGCTACATCTTCCCCACTTACGGTAGGTACTGGCCATGGGCTCTGGGCAGCTTCTGGAGGAGGAAGGGCTACCCTCTCGTCTCTCAGTCTTTCTTCTTGACCCTGCCTGACTGACTGATATGGAGCAGTGTAAACCCCAGGCCCTGTGGAGCTTGTAGATGAGAAGTCTGGCCACCTGCTGGACTCCTTGGTCAAAATTCTCTTCATCCATGCCCTGGATGATTTTTCAGTTCAACCAACACTGTCTTCCCTGGTCTTGGCAGCATGGCAGTTTGCAGGGAGGATATTCCTACTGGTGCCAAGATTTCTAAGATACCCCATGACTGGATGGAAAGTCTCTTCTGACTGCCTTGAACCCTGAGGAACGTGTGGATCCTTGGATAGACTGGGCTATGTGTTATCTCACAGAATTCCACATTCGTTTCTGAATGGTGCTGGTGCCTGCTTTTGCCTGCTCACCACCCTTCCTTCCTTCTGCAGGTGTCACCCCCCGTCACAGTGCCTTTTCCATGCACGCTCTGCTGGTTAACCACTACCTGAAAGGAGCCTTTTATCCCCGAGGGGGTTCCAGTGAAATTGCCTTCCATACCATCCCTGTGATTCAGCGGGCTGGGGGCGCTGTCCTTACAAGGGCCACTGTGCAAAGTGTGTTGCTGGACTCAGCTGGGAAAGCCTGTGGTGAGAGCCCTGCCCTGCCCTTCTGGGTCCCTGGGTTGGTGTGGACGAGACCTGAGGTGTCCCTAAGACCAGACGGAGTAGGAGAACTGACCTTCTTATGGGGGCTAAAGGTGAGAATCTGCCCCAGAGCAGGGTCCAGGAATAGTGATTAGTCCAGAAATAAAAAGGAAGCAGGAAAGATAAAGGATCAGCTGGGCATGGTGGTCTACGCCTGTAATCCCAACACTTTGGGAAGCTGAGATGGGAGGATTGCTTGAGCTCAGGAATTTGAGACCAGCCTGGGAAACATGGTTAAACCCTGTCTCTTTTAAAAAAAAAAAAAAAAAAAAAGTTAAAAAAAAAAAAAAGTAAAAAAAAAAAAAAAAGTAAAAAAAAAAAAAAAGAAACATATGGCCGGGCATGGTGGCTCATGCCTGTAATCCCAGCACTTTGGGAAGCTGAGGCGGATCACAAGGTCAGGAGTTTGAGACTAGCCTGGCCAATATGGTGAAACCCCATCTCTACTAAAAATACAAAAATTAGCTGGGTGTGGTGGCACGCACCTGTAGTCCCAGCTACTTGGGAGGCTGAGGCAGAAGAATCGCTTAAACCCGGGAGGTAGAGATTGCAGTGAGCCGAGATTGTACCACTGCACCCCATCCTGGGCAACAGAGTGAGACACTGTCTAAAAAAAAAATTAAAAAAAAAGAAAAATAAAGGATTGCATGGTCCCCAAAGAACAGTATTTTGTTATTTATTTAATAGATAAAATTATTATTATTTTTTTATTTTTTATTTTTTTTGAGACAGAGTCTGGCTCTGTCGCCCAGGCTGGGGTGCAGTGGCCGGATCTCAGCTCACTGCAAGCTCCGCCTCCCGGGTTTACGCCCTTCTCCTGCCTCAGCCTCCCGAGTAGCTGGGACTACAGGCACCCGCCACCTCACCCGGCTAGTTTTTTGTATTTTTTAGTAGAGACGGGGTTTCACCATGTTAGCCAGGATGGTCTCGATCTCCTGACCTCGTGATCCGCCTGTCTCGGCCTCCCAAAGTGCTGGGATTACAGGCTTGAGCCACCGCGCCCGGCCGATAAAATTATTTACCCAGTAATCTATGACTGTCTTTTTTTTTTTTTTTGAGATGGAGTCTTGCTCTGTCGCCCAGGCTGGAGTGCAGTGGCCTGATCTCAGCTCGCTGTAAGCTCCACCTCCCAGGTTCACGCCATTCTCCTGCCTCAGCCTCCCGAGTAGCTGGGACTACAGGTGCCTGCCACCACGCCCGGTTAATTTTTTGTATTTTTAGTAGAGACGGGGTTTCACCATGTGTTAGCCAAGAGAGTCTCCATCTGCTGAACTTGTGATGCGCCCGCCTCGGCCTCCCAAAGTGCTGGGATTACAGGCGTGAGCCACCGTGACCAGCCAATTGTCTTCTTGAGTGTAGAGACTGTCTTTTATCTTTGTATCTATAAATCTTAGCACATATTAGAGGCTCAATAAATGTTGCTCAGTGACCGATGGAATGAATGAATAACCTTAGATTCCACAGGGTAGTATGGAGGCCAGCAAGGTTCCCTGCCTCTGTCTGTAAAGTGAGGCCTAGAACCTTATTACACTGGCTCAGATTGATGCTGTAACCTGGATAGGGACTCCGAATCCCAGTATAAATTACTCTTGGAATAGAGGGTCTGTGCAAGAAGGAGTCTGTTAAACAGAACAGGCCATCCATGACTAATGGGTGCTTAAAGAAGCCAGGGAAACAGACAAAAAGAGGCCTGGGAAAAACTGGGCTGGTATAGACATGCATTTATCAGAGGAACCTTTGAAGGAGGTGATAAGTGGGGGACCCAGTGCAAAATAAAAAATCAAGGAGAAAAGGCCATCAGTGATCTGAGAGAATCCATTAGTAGAAGAGACTGATAAGTTACTGGGTGGTAAGAGAGAGGTGGATGTCAGTTGGGCAAGGTTTTCTCTGATGTCCGTGAACAAGTTCTCCTAGCTGAAAGGGGTCCAGGAAGCAAGGTAGATTTATCAATTGAGGTAAATACAATCCAGATATATTTGTTTTTCAAGTGCTAGGTAATAAAAGATAGAGATAAAAGAGGTCGGGCGCCGGTGGCTCATGCCTGTAATCCCAGCACTTTGGGTGGCCAAGGCAGGCAGATCGCCTGAGGTCGGGAGTTTGGGACCAGCCTGGCCAACATGGTGAAACCCTGTCTTTACCAAAAATACAAACATTAGCCAGGGCCGGGCGCTGTGGCTCACGCCTGTAATCCCAGCACTTTGGGAGGCCGAGGTGCGTGGATCACAAGGTCAGGAGTTCAAGACCAGCCGGGCCAATATGGTGAAACCCTGTGTTTATTGAAAATACCAAAATTAGCCAGGCACAGTGCTGGGAGCCTGTAATCCCAGCTACTTGGAAGGCTGAGGCAGGAGAATTGCGTGAACCCAGGAGGAAGAGGTTGCAGTGAGCTGAGATCGCGCCGCTGCACTCCAGTCTGGGCAATAGAGTGAGGCTTCGTCTTAAACAAAAACAAAAACCATTCATTTACATGCCATCTGGAGGACTGTGCTAAGGATGGGGGTAACAGACAGCATAGTGGAACAAGGGAAGCCTCCTGGAGGCACAGTGTGGAGTTGAGTAATAAAGGGTGAGATGAACCTAGCAAACAGATGAGGTTGGAGAATATTCCGGGAAGGGGAAGCAGCATGCACAAAAACATGGAGACATGAAAGAGCTGAGTGTTTTCAGGCATCCAGAAGTATTAGGTTGAACAATGACAAACTGCCATTTTTGTAGGTGAAAAATGGTTGACTCTCAGCTGTTTGATATTGGTTCTGCCTAATAGTTTAGTGGGAGTTTAGTGAGAGTGAGCAGAGATGGATGGAGCTGGACACACAGAAGGGACCACATTGCACAGGCTGCTGTAAGATTTCAGAGGTTCTCTTATCCAGGATAAGGCATCATTGCAGGGTTTGATTTTTATTTTATTCATTCATTCATTTTTTTAGAGACACAGTCTCACTCTGTTGCCCAGGCTAGAGTGTGGTAGTGTCATCAGAGCTCACTGTAGCGTTTAATTCCTGGGCTGAACCCATTCGTCTGGCTGAGGAGATAGGACTACAGGTGTGCACAACCCCATACAGCTTAATTTAATTTTTTTTTAATTTTTTTTTTTTTTTTTTTTTTTGTAGAGACAGGGTCTCACTATGTTGCCCAGGCTGGTCTTGAATTCCTATATACAAGCAATCAGTCCTCTTACCTTGGACTCCCAAAGTGCTGAGAGTACAGGCATGAGCCAATGTGCTCAGCCCCGATTGGAGAGTATTAAAGAGTATTTGGAAGCAACTCTGGCAGCAGAGAAAAGGGCCTGGATTTCCACTGGAAGTGCTTTAGCCCTTGAGCTTTGTCTGGGATTTGGCTCAAACACAGAGTACACACAAACACACACACGCAGGTGGGTACAGAGCTAGGAAAAGTAAGCCCAAGCAGTTGTAGGATAGGCTGAAAGCACTTGAAAATATTCACTCACTTTGCATTTTCCCAGGGGCCTGCCCTGCCTGAGTCTAGGTAGCTGGACTCCAAGGTCTGAGAAATGGGCACAGGCAGAGAGAGATCCATGGGGGCCGTGGGCCTTCCTCTTTCCCCGGGGCTCACAGACCCTCAGCCAAGCACTTGTGCCTGCAGGTGTCAGTGTGAAGAAGGGGCATGAGCTGGTGAACATCTATTGCCCCGTCGTGGTCTCCAATGCAGGGCTGTTCAACACCTATGAGCACCTACTGCCGGGGAATGCCCGCTGTCTGCCAGGTAAAAGGCAGGTCTGCACTGCCCCTCTTGCAGGTTCCCCAACGTGTCCCCTTCTGGAGCCAGCTTGCTCCATTTGGGTCATGCTTCCCCTCTTCTTGGCCGGCCCTCTGACTGTACTTAAGCAACAAGGTGAGAAGGCTGCCTCTAATGTCATCCTAACCCTACCATTGAATGTTGGGGAAACTGAGGCCCATACAGATTAATTACAGTCCTGAGGCCACTCAGCTGAAAGGGGCAGGGCTGAGTGGAGTAGCTGGTCTGATTTGAAAGCTCCAGCTCCTCTCACCCTTCTGGGTTGAGGGGGCTTCCAGAGAAGTAGCCTCAGGAGGAGAAGCAGGAGAGCAGGCAGCCCACAGGGAGCAGAGCCGCCGAGCCACCGCGGCTGAGGTCCCGCCACTTCATGTAACTGGATGCATCTGGTGTGATCTGAGGAAGGGAGGCCGCTGGGAAGGGCGAACCAGGAACCCAGCAGGAGTGAGAGAGAGGGGCCCAGATGAAGGGCTCAGGCTGGGGCGGGAGCTGGAGAGCACAGAGCAGCTCCGGATGTGGTGTGGTGGAAACCTTGGCTGGTGCAGGAGCCAGAGAGCAGGGGAAGGAGCCCTGACCCCAGAGGGTGGGCCCGGGAGCTGCTCCCTAAGGAACCGGGGAAGGGGACAGCAGAGCGGGCTGGGGGTTAAAGCGAGGTCCTGGCTTTCCTCACGGGGACTGGTGGTATGTGAGTTGTGATTGTCTCCAGGGCATAGGGTGGTTTCACCAGTGCCAGCCTCTCCTTTCTTTGCCCCTCGTAGCTGAGCCTGCAGCCTGCACGGCCTCCCCTCTCTCAGACTCTCAGGAGCTGAAGGGGTGAGGCAGAGATGGCCAAGGGGCACAGCAGGGGGGTCAGGCATGGTGCACAGGCAGACTCTGCCTTTGCTACTTCCTACCTTTCTCTTTGTGACCATGACCTCCCTTCTTCCCTGTCCCAGGACCTCTGGGCACTGATACTGTCCTGGCCAGGCAGCCCTGCTAGAGTCACCTGTCCCTCCTACCCCCCTCCCACCATCTGGTTAAAATTTTCCCTTGTCTGTGAATTTTCCTCCTGAACATGATCTGAAGGCCTCAAAAATATTTAGTTAAATGAAGGAAGCAGAGTGGCCAGGGACCTGGCATGCCTCAGGCAGGTGCCAGAGCTGGCATCCCAAGGCTCTCCTAGGAGCAGGGAGTGGCTGTCTCTGGTCATAGTTCACACAGGCACCACCCACTCCCCTTGGCAGGTGTGAAGCAGCAGCTGGGGATGGTGCGGCCTGGCTTAGGCATGATGTCTGTTTTCATCTGCCTGCAAGGCACCAAGGAGGACCTGCATCTGCCATCCACCAACTACTATGTTTACTATGACACGGACATGGACCAGGCGTAAGACGCATGTGTCTGTGTGTGTGTGTGTGTGTGTGTGTGTGTGTGTGTTGCACGTGCCTCCCTGCTTGACTCAGAATGAGCAGAGGATATGGAATGGGAGGAAATGGGCAATATCTAATTTGCTCCTGGAAGTTTGTCACCTCAAGGCTGTGGCTCAGCTTCACCCCTGTGGGGAGTCCCTAGGGCTGAGCAGTCCTTGCAGTGGTTCTGGGGTTTTGAGGACAAAAGCCTGAAGATTGCACCACACTCCTGTCACACGCAGGATGGAGCGCTACGTCTCCATGCCCAGGGAAAAGGCTGCGGAACACATCCCTCTTCTGTTCATCGCTTTCCCATCAGCCAAGGATCCGACCTGGGAGGACCGATTCCCAGGTGGGGCTGCCGGGTCCTGGGGCAGGCTGGAGGAGGGCCGGGCAGTGGTAATATCAGCTCTGACCCCAGGCCGGTCAGCATGACCATGCTCATGCCAGCGCCTATGGTGGTTTGAGGAGTAGCAGAGTGGAGCTGAGAGGAAAGCGGGCAGTGACTATGAGACCTTCAAGACTCCTTTGTGAAGCCTCTATGTCAGTGGTCCTTGACTGTTCCCACAGCTGGAGGGGAAGGTAGGGAGTAAAATACTTGGGGTGGTGTGGACCTCATGGGTGTCATTTCTGCCCTTTCCTTACAAAGACAGGGGAATCGGGCCCCATGACATGAGCCCCAGGGAAGGACAGGGCACCCATACCCGCAGTCAGCAAATAGGAGACAGTAGAAGAGGGAGGAGCCAAGGATCTCACGTACCCGCGCCCCACCCTTTGTGCCCTCAGGTGGGAGTGTGACTGCAGGTCCCACTCACCCCACAGTTCTATCTAGCTGCTCGAGGCGCCTGCTACGGGGCTGACCATGACCTGGACCGCCTGCACCCTCGTGTGATGGCCTCCTTGAGACCCAGAGCCCCATCCCCAACCTCCTACCTGACAGGTATACTCACTGCCCCATGTTGTGGGACCTGAGACCCTGGGCCCCTGTTGCCCAACGTCCTCTCTTCCTGTCCTCAGGCCCTGCTGTCCCCTGCAGCTTTCCATCCCTGAGCAGGGCTGCCTGGGCAGGCTGTGGCCAGTCCTGACTGGAGCCAGCTCTGGGTGGCCCTCATGTGGAGGAAGAGCACAGGGCCCCACCCTCCCCTGGGCCTGCCTGGGTCACGCTCAGGGGCCTCTGCTCTTGCCTCCTAGGCCAGGATATCTTCACCTGTGGGCTGGTCGGGGCCCTGCAAGGTGCCTTGCTGTGCAGTAGTGCCATCCTGAAGCGGAACTTACATACTCAGACTGTCAGGATCTTGGCTCTAGGATCCAGGCACAGAAGAAGAAAGAGTGGATTCCATCAGGGGAGGAGTCAGAGGAATCCGCCCAATGGCTGGGCATCTCCCTTCAGCTTAACCCATAATGTCTTTCTACATTAGTTCCTTGCACATATAAGGCAATTTGGTTCTGATTTGGTTCTGATTCCTGAAGACAGGCCCTGGTTAAATCACAATTCCGAGTCTGGGGCAATGGAATCATTGCTTCCAGCTGGGGCAGATGAGATCGACATGCCTTTTCATAACATCCCATGTCCCCTACTAACAGGGTATTGACTTGGATAACTTGAGTGTCTCATGACGAGCAGCGCTCTGCATCCCTCACCCATGCCTCCTCACTCAGTGATCAAACAGAAAATTCCATGCAGCGCTCTGCATCCCTCACCCATGCCTCCTCACTCAGTGATCAAACAGAAAATTCCATCGGTGGATAGAACCCCTGGCAGTGTTGTCAGCTAAAGCTGGTGGGTTCAGTTCTGTCTTGTGGCTTCTGCTCTCATTCACTTAGTGCTGTGCTGCACAGTTCTACACTGTCGAAGGAGAAGGGAGACTAATGAGGCTTAACTCAAAACCTGGGCATGGTTTTGGTTGCCATTCCATAGGTTTGGAGAGCTCTAGATCTCTTGTGCTGGGTTCAGTGGCTCTTCAGGGCACGGGAAATGCCTGTGTCTGGCCCGGTGTGGTCTGGAGCTTTGGGGTAACAGTGGGATCCATCAGTTACTAGGGGGCACGTCAGATGATCATATCCAATTCATATGGAAGTCCTGGGTCTGTCTTCCTTATGATCGGGGTGGCATCTGGTTCTCGATGTGCCAGCATCAAGGCACCTTCAGGGAGCTAGTACCTGAGCCTCAATCAAGCTTCATCCTCCAAATACGCAGGGAAGGGTGATGCAGCGAAGGGTAACGTCAGGAGTCAGGTCATGGACTGGTAAGATGAATACTTTGCTGGGCTGAAGCAGGCTGCAGGGCTGTCCAGGCAAGGGCACACCTGGGGACAGCTCTGGGAGGTGTGGGGTAAGGAAGGGAAGTCACCTCAGAAAAGGGAAAGCGACAGAATGTGTGCGAAGCCCAGAAATGGCATTTGCCGTTAATTAGCACATGTGAGAGTTAGATGGGTATGTGAATGCAAGCTCAAGGTTTGGAAAAATGACTTTTCAGTTATGTCTTTGGTATCAGATATACTAAAGGTTGCTTTGTAGTTCACGTTAATGTAACAATAAATTTATTGATTCCATTGCTTTAACATTTGAAGTTTATGTTTTTTGTTCAACAAAACAAAACTGATGGCATTTGCAGAAGCTCAGTAAAACACTATACACTGAAAAACAGCAAAATAAGCTTTAAAAAAATAAAATTAAGTAATTATAAAGTTACAAAAAGTGGCCATCTACTGATTGGGCAAACAAAGAACAATTTCAACATTCAGTCATTTATTGCACATGGGGTCTGATGAATTAAAGGAATACCAATCAGAGTGTCGGGGGCTGGCGTATTGGCAGTTTGAAGTACCATACAGCTCAGGGCTGAGTGCTTTGGCTCACGCCTGTAATCCCAGAACTTTGGGAGGCAAAGGCAGGTAGATTACTTGCGCTCGGGAGTTCAAGACCAGCCTGAGCAACATGGCAAAACCCTGTCTGTATAAATAAAGTCGCCACCTCACCCACCCCCGCCCAGAAAAATTAGCTGGGCATGGTGGTGTGCCCCTGTAGTCCCAGCTATTCAGGAGGCTGAGGTGGGAGGATCACTTCAGCCCGGGAGGTGGAGGATGCAGTGAGCCAAGATTGTGACACTGCACTCCAGCCTGAGCAAGAGAGTGGGACCCCGTCTCAAAACAGAACAAACAAACAAAAAAACCAAACATAGACCCAAACCCTTTACAGAGGCATTTCTAAATTGGGAGATTTGGCCAAGTACAATGGCTCATGTCTGTAATCCCAGTAGTTTGGGAGGCTGAGGTGGGAGGATTGTTTGAACCCAGGAGTGTGAGGCTGCAGTGAGCTATGATCACACCACTACACTCCAACCAGAGTGACAGGGCAAACCCTCTCTCTGAAAAAACAAAACAAACAAATTGGGAGATTTGGCAAAATTCACATCAGACCTGTAGAACTACCTGAGTTGAGAGTCACCCTTTGCTCTGGATGTACTGTTTAATTAAAGCTGAAAATCTCTCCCCAGGATTCCTACTGGAGCAAGTCATGCCAAGCCCAACCTTCCTAGCAAGAGTTTTCACAGCCTTCTAGCTCTCAGCACACTTGCAGCATTCTGCATCAGGTTACCCTGTACAAACAAGCACAGAAGAAGACACCAGCATCACCAGCAGGGGAATTTTAGAGGTTTAGAATTCTATCAGCACATGTGTCACTAAAAGCCATTATGGGGGAACTATGTCAGAATATATGTAATTAGCTGTCAGGTCTTTCCCAGTTGCCTCAGCCTTTCTACATAAACTGGTCTTCGACTACCCTTGAGTCTAGAAGTGGACTCTTTCAGCAATTCTACTCAGGAATCTGTAGCAGGAAAACAGGTTTCTCTATTAACATACATGACTGAAGCACAGATTCGTCTAATAGAAATCACCCTTCACCGGGCACGGTGGCTCACGCCTGTAATCGCAGCACTCTGGGAGGCCGAGGCAGGCAGATCACCTGAAGTCAGGAGTTCGAGACCAGCCTGACTAACATGGAGAAACCCCGTCTCTACTAAAAATACAAAATTATCCGAGCGTGGTGGTGCATGCCTGTAGTCCCAGCTACTCAGGAGGCTGAGGCTGGAGAATCACTTGAACCCAGGAGATTGTGGTGAGCCGAGATCGTGCCATTGCACTCCAGCCTGGGCAAGAGCAAAATTCCATCTCAAAAAAAAAGAAAAAAAAAAAAATCACTCTTCAACCAAAAGCTGGGCAGAGAAAGGGAAGCCTTTAGCTGACTATAGGAGGTGCCTCTTGTGGCTCCATGTGCTTCTTACACACCACCCGTAGCTTGAGTGATGCCTCTGCCAGCGCACCCTCATCCACACAATCTCTAGGAAACATGCTTCAGATATTCTGTCTTTGAAAAGACAACCGTGCAGAAAATAAGCTTTCCTTTAGTGTGCAGTATTTTATTCAGTGCAATTCTAAAGGCAAACTTGAATTCAGTTGTACTCTTTCTGCACAAGAAATGAAACTTCTCAGAGGCTCAAAAGCTGAGCTCTGTAGACTCCGTGACAAAATCTGCACATCCACTGCCAACCCTCTTGGTTTCTGAAACCAACCTTTTTTCCTGCTGTCCTCTTTAAGAGCAAAACCCAACATGTATAAGGTCAGAGCAAGTGGTAGCCAGGAAAAGCTTGGGGACCCCTTTCATACCCAGAGGGCATGAAGAAAGAAAACATGTCCTCTGCCAAAGGCAAAATGGAGTTTGTGAACCAGGAGTGGTGGGTCACACCTGTAACTTCAGCATTCTGGGAGGCCGAGGCAGCCGATCACCTAAGGTCAGGAGTTCAAGGTCAGCCCAGCCAACATGGCAAAACCCTGTCTCCACTAAAAATATAAAACGTAGTCGGGTGTGGTGGTGAGCACTTGTAATCACAGCTACATAGGAGGCTGAAGCAGGAGAATCGCTTGAACCCAGGGGGCAGAGGCTGCAGTGAGCAAAGATCCCACCATTGCACTCCAGCCTGGGCAACAGAGCGAGACTCTGATTCAAAAAAAAAAAAAGTCACACAAAATTATTATTATTATTATTTTGAGACAGGGTCTCACTCTTCTCTCAGGCTGGAGTGCAGTGGTGCGATCACAGGTCACTGCAGCCTTGACCTCCTGGGCTCAAACAATCCTTCCACCTCAGCCTCCCAAATACCTGAGACAGCAGGCCAAGAGCCACATGTCTAATTTGTGTGTGTGTGTGTGTGTGTGTAGAGATGGGGTCTTGCTATGTTTCCCATGCTGATCTCAAACTCCTGGGCTCAAGCAATCCTCCTACCTGCAGCCCTCCCTAAGTGCTGGGATTATGTGAGCCATCATGCCTGGCCCCACAGAATGATTTTTAAAGTCAGTTAGAAATCAGACATACACTAGAAAGAAATACACTTGATGGAGAGATGGGAATCCTGACTCTGCTTCACACTGTTCTGTATTATTTTGAATTATTTACATGTAGTTTTCTTTCCCCCAATTGAAAGAAAAGTTATAATGAAGAGGGGAAACTCCTTAAGGCCAATTATCTGAGAAGCTAGTAGTCCAGGGCTAAATTGTGAAGCTGACCTCTTGAGGTAGTTAACAAAGATGCTTCTCTTCATGTCTTTTTGCCAGTAGCACACTGCCCTAATTACTCCAGCTTTTTGGTGAGTTTTGAAACCGGGAAGTATGAGTCCTTCAGTTTTATTCTTTTTCAAGTCTGTTTTTGCTTTTCTATGCCTCTTGCATTTCCATATGTATTGTGGAATATGCTTGTCGATTCTGCACCAAGCCAGCAGGAATCTTAATAGAGACTGTGTTTAATAGAAACTGTGTGTAGACCAATTTGGGGAGCATAGCCATGTTAACAAAATTCTGTCTTCCAATCCATGAATATAGGATATCTTTCCATTTCTTTAGGTCTTCTTTAATTTCTTTCAACGTTTTGTAGTTTTCACAACACAAATTTTGCAATTCTTTCGTTAAATTTATTTCTATGGATTTTTAAAATACTATTCAGAAATGCAATTATTTCTTATTTCATTTTCAGATTGTCCACTGCAAAGGTATAGAAACACAGTTGATTTCTGTATGTTGATCTCAAAGGATGTGGAGAAAAGAAATGATGGAAAACAATGAGATAGTGTCCCAGAAGACAACTGACCTGACTAGGTATAGCACTAAAGGCCACAAAGAGGCCTGCAAGGTAAAAATTTTACATAAGGATTTTTTTTTTTTTTTTTTTTTGAGACGAAGTCTCACTCTGTTGCCCAAGTTGGAGTGCATGGCAAGATCGCAGCTCACTGCAACCTCCACCTCCTAGGTTCAAGTGATTCTCCTGCCTCAGTCTCCCAAGTAGCTGGGACTACAGGCACACACCACCATGCCTGGCTAATTTTTGTATTTTTAGTAGAGATGGGGTTTCACTATTTTGGTCAGGTTGGTCTTGAACTCCTGACCTCGTGATCCTCCCGTCTTGGCCTCCCAAAGTGCTGGGATTACAGGCATGAGCCACCATGCCCGGCCTGTTTTAATTTTTTTTAGACAGAATCTCGCTCTGTTGCCCAGGCTGGAGTGCAGTGGCACGATCTCAGCTCACTGCAGCCTTTGCCTCCTGGATTAAAGTGATTCTTGTGTCTCAGCCTCCCGAGTAGCTAGGATTACAGGCACCCGCCACCATGCCTGGCTAATTTTTGTATTTTTAGCAGAGATGGGGTTATGCCATGTTGGCCAGGCTGGTCTTGAACTCCTGACCTCAAGTGATCCACCTGCCTTGGCCTCCCAAAGTGCTGGGATTACAGGTGTGAGCCACTGTGCCCGGCCAACATATGGCTTTATAACTTGCTTTATTTTTGGTTAACAATTATATGCACATATATTACTATAGGAAAGGAGGACCAACAAAATATTAATGATAATAGCTCTCGATTAAGAATATTTTTCTGGCCAGGTATGGTGGCTCATATGTGTAATTGCAACACTTTGGGAGGCTGAGGTGGGAGGATTGCTTGAGCCCAGGAGTTCAAAACCAGCCTAGGCAACATAGTTCAAGACCAGCCTGGGCAGCAGCTTGTCTCTACAAAAAGTTTAAAAATTAGCTAGGTGTGGTGGCGTGCACCTGTAGTCCCAGCTACTTGGGAGGCTGAGGTGGGAGGATTACTTAAGCCTGGGAGGTCAAGGCTGCAGTGAGCTATGGTCGGTCTCAAAAAAAAAAAGGGAAAAAAAAAAGAAACATCTTTCTTACTTTGGTTTATCTTTGTTTTATAATTTTTCTATAATGAACATACTACAATAATAATTTTAGAGCATTATATGCTACATATAGTGTTAAACACTATATTTTACATGAATCATCTAATTCTTAACATTTTAATTTCCATTTCCTAATGAAGAAATAGGCTGGGTGTGGTGGCATGCATCTATAATCTCAGTACTTAGGGAGGCCAAGGTGGGCGGATCACTTGAGGTCAGGAGTTTAAGACCAGCCTGGCCAACATGGTGAAACCCTGTCTCTACTAAAAATATAAAAATTAGCTGGGTATGGTGGCACACACCGGTAGTCCCAGCTACTCAGGAGGCTGAGGCACGAGAACTGCTCAAATCCAGGACATAGAGGTTGCAGTGTGCCAAGATCACACCATTGCACTCCAGCCTGGGCGTCAGAGCGAGACCCTGTCTCAACACAATAATAATAACAATAAAGAAACAAATATTTAAAGTAATTAAATTGTCCAAGGTCATGTAAATTATTTGTGCAATAAGTATTAAAGAATAACACTTAAGGACTATGTTTTTCCTATCTATTTGGCAGATTAATAATACTCACTGCTATCAAAGCTTTGGCAAAATAATAGAATTGCTTAATCTTTATTTCTTTCTTTCTTTTCTTCAGAGATTGGTTCTCACTCAGTCACCCAGGCTGGGATGCAGAGATCATAGCTCACTGTAATCTCCAACTCCTGGTCTCAAGCCACACTAATTTTTAAATTTTTTTATAGAGACAGGGTCTCAATTTGTTGACCAGGCTGGTCTCAAACTCCTGGCTTCAAGGGATCCTCTTGGCCTCCCAAAGTGCTGGGATTACAGGCATGAGCCACTCTAACAGGCCTACTTAATCTTTCTGAGGGTTTATCTTATCTTAAAAGGCACCTAACCAGTACTTAACAATAGTTACTAACAATAGAAAACTAAAAATAATACAGATGTCCAATAGTAAGAGAACTGTCACAATTACGATAAACTAATAGATTACTTTTTATGAAACCATTAACAATCCTGTTTTGAACAATATTTAGTTAGAAAAATTGTTCCTATACTTACCTTTGAACTCCATGATCACATTTCCAACTAGATATTTTCACCCGGCTGTCTCATGGTCCAAACTACACAGAAGCAATTAACCATAAGCAAATTCATTTTATATGTCCCACCCCCATCAGACTTGCTTCTCCATTAGTGTTCCTTCCCTCAGGGAAAGGACACCTCCACACCTTCCTCACCATCACTCCTTTCCCCCACACCCAGCCCATCTTCAAGGCTTGTTAGTATTACCTTCAGATTTATCTTGAGTCCAATTACTTTCCTCCATTCTCACTGTCCCTACACTAGTCCTACTTGAACTACTGCATTAGTCTCTCAACTCTTAAATTCACTCCTCCCTCCCCACTCAAGTTCTTCACGATACAACCAGAGTAATATTTAAAAATTTGGCTGAGCCCGGTGGCTCACGCCTGTAATCCCAACACTCTGGGAGGCCAAGGTGGGTGGATCACTTGAGGTTAGGAGTTTAAGACCAGTTTGGCCAACACGGTGAAACCCTGCCTCTACTAAAATACAAAAATTAGCTGGGTGTGGTGGTGGGCGCCTGTAATACCAGCTACTTGGGAGGCTGAAACAGGAGAATTGCTTGAACCCGGGAGGCGGAGGTTGCAGTGAGCCGAGATTGTGCCATTGCACTCCTGCCTGGGCGACAGAGTGAGACTGTCTCAAAAACAAAAATAAAATAAAATAAAAAATAAATTGAAACAACAAAAACTCCCTACCCTTAGCTGGTGTGATGGTATTGGGTTATCACAACTTATTAACATTAGTATCACTACACTTGGTGTTAATATATAACACCCCATTGCTAAATTTGACTGTCTTTAAAAAATCCCAATTCTATTTTTCCCCTACTTAAAACTTTAGCAATATCATTATTGTTAAGATAAAATATAAAACACTAGACATGGCCCATGAGTTCTGCATGATTTGGACTCCTTTCCTCTATTGTCTAGTAATTTGGACACCAGGTCAGGCTTAATAATTTACTGTTCCCTCACCAGACACACATACCCTTGATAAGCCAGTATCTTTAAATGTTAGTCAGACATTTATTTAGGGGAGATAGAAATAATTTTCTTTTCCTTTTTTTGAGAGAGTCTTGCTCTGTTGCCTAAGCTGGAGTGCAGTGGTGCAGTCTCAGCTCACTGCAACCTCTGCCTCCCAAGTTCAAGTGATTCTCCTGCCTCAGCCTCCCAAGTAGCTGAGATTACAGGCATGCACCACCATGCCCAGCTAACTTTTTTTGTATTTTTAGTAGAGACAGGGTTTCACCATGTAGGTCATGCTGGTCTCGAACTCCAGATCTCAAATGATCCGCCTGCCTCGGCCTCCCAAAGTGCTGGAATTACAGGCTTGAGCCACCCCACCCAGCCAGAATTTAATCCTTTTTTTTTTTTTTTTTTTTTTCATTTTTTAGGACAGTGTCTCATTTTGTTGCCAAGGCTGGAGTGCAGTGACCTGATCACAGCTCACCACAGCCTCCACCTACGACGCTCAAGCAATTCTACCATCTCAGTGCTCCTGGGGCTGTAGGTGCACACCATGCCCAGCTAATTTTTAAAATTATTTGTAGAGACGAGGTTTCACCACGTTGCCCAGGGTGGTCTTGAACTCCTGGGCTCAATCAGCCAGCCTCAGCCTCCCAACCAAAGTGCTGGGATTACAGGCAAGAGTCACTGCACCTGGCCAGAGTTTTCTTTTAGAAACAAATTGATTTACCAGTTCATTTCTTTCAGCCAAAGTGGAGTCAAGGTTCTGAAATAGTTTGGCAAAAGATTTCTCACTTCCTGTAACTCTTATTTTCTCTTCAGTAATGAGTGTATGTGTGACAGACATTTTCTTCGACACAGAAACATACTGAGAACATATTAATTGTTTTTTAAATTAAAAAATATCCAGCCTGGGTGACAGAATGAGACCCTGTCTCAAAAAATAATAATAAAATAAAAATAAAGCACTTGTTCCTGAAAATTATATGCCACTACATGTACTATTCCTTGAAATTCTGAAGAATTCTAATTGACTAGAACTGCACATCATGTAAGCCAAATATTGTACTCAGTAGACTACAGAGGAGTTATTTCCCCTGGCAGCTGTAGTTCTTTCTGGCAGGAGTGGGACTAGTTTACATTTCAATCAAAGTTCACTGGCATATGGCCGGGCGCAGTGGCTCATGCCTGTAATCTCAGCACTTTGGGAGGCCGAGGTGGGTGGATCACTTGAGGCCAGGTGTTTCAGACCAGCCTGGCCAACATGGTGAAACCCCGTCTCTACTAAAGATACAAAAATTAGCCGGGCGTGGTGGTGGGTGCCTGTAATCTCAGCTAGGCAGTAGGTTGAGGCGGGAGAATCGTTTGAACCCGGGAGGCGGAGGCTGCAGTGAGCTGAGATCACGTCACTGCACTCCAGCCTGGGCAACAGAGGGAGACTCCATCTCAAAACAAAACAAAACCCACAAAGTTAACTGGCATATTTCCTGTTGTACTTTTTGTGCTTAGTAGATTCATGTTCTAGACAATTCTCAGATCATTTGTTCTTTAATTTGGCTCTGTTCCAGCCTCTTTCCTGCCTTTCTCCTTCTTCTCTATTATCTGACAACTGTAGTCTTTAGACTTACACAAAATACCAGGTTCCCACCTGTCTGCAGACCATTGTATTAGGTTGGTGCAAAAGTAATTGCTGTTTTTGTCAAACGGCCAGAACGCAATTGATTTTGCACCAACCTAATACATGCTGTGCACTCAGCCAGGAAAGCTCATCCTCCTCTTCCTTTCCTCTTCACCTGGGACACAGCTACAACCTTCAGTTCTCAGCTTAAGGGTCCCTTCCTCAAATGATCTCATAGTTTCTGTACTTTTCTTTCTGGCAGTTCTTGGAATGTGCATGCACGCACACGTTTGTGTAGATATTTAATATTTATGTACCCCAAAAGATTGCATGCTCCATGAAGTTAATACCTACCTTAAAAACTTGATATAGGGCTGGGCGCGGTGGCTCACGCCTGTAATCCCAGCGTTTTGGGAGGCTGAAGAGGGTGGATCACCTAAGGTCAGGAGTTCAAGACCAGCCTGACCAACGTGGAGAAATCCTGTCTCTACTAAAAATACAAAATTAGCTGGGTTTGCTGGTGCATGCCTGTAGTCCCAGTTACTCGGGAGGCTGAGGCAGGAGAATCACTTGAACCTGGGAGGCAGAGGTTGTGCTGAACCAAGAACGCGCCATTGCACTCCAGCCTGGGCAACAAGAGCAAAACTCTGTCTCAAAAAAAATTTTTTTTATATAGTTGTACATATTTATGGTGTACATGTGGTATTTTTATACAGGTATACAATATTTAATGACCAAATCAGAGTAACTGGGATATCTATCACCTCAAATATTTATCTATTCTTTGTATCGGGAACATTACAATTCTTCTCTTTTGAAATATACGATGTTATTGTTAACCATAATTTTTCTACTGTATTGACTACAGAACATACTTACTCTTTTTATGTATCTGTATTTTTGTACCCATTAACCAACTTCTCTTCATCTTCCCTCTCCTCATCCCCTCCCAGCCTCTGGTAGCCACCTCTACTTTCATGAGATCCACTAGTCTCAGCTACTTGGAAGGCTGAGGTGGGGGATCACTAGAGCCCAGGAGATGGAGATTGCAGTGAGCTGAAATCGTGCCACTGCACTCAAGCCTGGGTGACAGAGTAAGACTGTCTCAAAAAAAAAAAAAAAAAAAAAGAGAGAGATGGGGTCTTGCCATGTTGCCCAGTCTGGTCTGGAACTTCTGGGCTCACACGATCCTCCCGCCTCAGCCTCCCAAAGTGCTGGGATTACAAGAGTATATATCTCTTTGACATACTTATTTCCTTTCTTTTGGATACATACTCAGCAGTGGGAATACTGGATCATATGGCAGTTCTATTTTTAGTTTCTGAGAAACTCTGTGCTGTTTTCCTTTATTTTTTTATAGAGACAGAGTCTTGCTACATTGCCCAGGCTGATTTCGAACTCCTGGGCTCAAGTCATCTGCCTGCCTCAGCCTCCCAAGGTGCTGGGACTACAGGTGTGAGCCTGCATGCCCTGCCAATACTGTTTTCCATAATGGCTGTACTAATCTACATTCCCACCAACAGGATATGAGCATTCCCTTTTCTTCTCATCCTTGTCAACATTACGTATTTTTTTTTTTCTTTCGATAACAGCCATTCTAACTGGGCTAAGATGATCTCTCATTGTGGTCTGGATTTGCATTTCCCTGATGATTAGTGATAGTGAGCATCTTTTCACATACCATTTCTATGTTGGCCATTTGTATGTCATCTTTTTGAGATATGTCTATTCAGCAGGTCTTTTGCCCTTTTTTTTTTTCTTTTTTTGAGATGGTTGCCTAGGCTGGAATGCAGTGATAAGATTTTGGCTCACTCACTGCAATCTCCGCCTCCCAGGCTCAAATAATCCTCCCATCCTCAGCCTTCTGAGTAGCTGGGATTACATGCACAGGCCACCATGCCCGGCTAATTTTTTGTACTTTTGGTAGACACAGGGTTTCATCATGTTGCCCTGGCTGGTGCCCATTTTTTAATTATATTTTTTTCCTTGAGTTTCTTATATATTCTAGTTATTAATCCCTTGTCGGATGGATAGCTTGCGAATAGTTCTCTCATTATGTAGGTTATTTCTTCACTGTTTCCTTTGCTGTGCAGAAGCTTTTTAACTTGATGTAATCTCATTTAAGACCTATCATTTCTTAAATCACTGTCTCCTAAGCACCAAGCCTGGCAATCGTTCATAAAGTGATTTCAAACATTTAATGTATAAACATAACAGTAACTGTAAACGGTGGGATACAAAACCATTTACCTGATTATCCCAATATGCGGAGAAAATAAATCTGCATAAAATAAAAGAGAAATACACTAATTAAGAAGGGAAAGTGTCCTTTTTTTTTTTTTTTTACAAAACTAAATGGAAACATAATAAACTAATGTAAGCGGTAACCTGTGGAGGAGTAGGAAGACTCTTCTAAGAAAGGTCTATTTACTTTAAAATCTGGTTCTCATTTCTGAAACATTATACTGTATTATCTATTCAAAAACATTAAATGTTTAGAGGGCAGACAATACACTAAAACATTAATAGTGATTATCCCGGAAGGGTGGCAGTCAGGTTTTGTTTTCTGCTTCTGTACTTTTACGACCAGAAAAAGGCTGCACTTTTTGGAAAAGATGTTTGACGACCTCGGAGAACACCGTCTCTGTGGGGTAGGGAAGGAGGAGGGCCGGGATGCGAAGGCAACGCTTTGTAGGTGATCGGATGGATTTGTTCCCACATGGGAGAGACCAGAGCACAGCATGTTTGTATACTACCAAGAGGGAAACACGAAAAAAGCAGAGCATAGAAACGCAAGCACAGGATGGTGGTGGCCAAGAGGCGTCTGCCCCTAGTGACCTCACTTCCGCGGCCAGTGCGAGAGGCCAGGGAGCTCCAGCTATGCCTGTAAGGTCTCGGAAGTACGCGGCGGAGAGGACGAAAAACGGAGGGCCAGTCTGTTGCGGCTGTGGTAGAGACGAGAAACCAGGAATAAGAGGCTCACCTTCCACTCAGCGACCGTAACCACCGCAGCGGAAGGCGAGCGCAGACATCAGCAGCAGCGGCCCCAGCAAATCTCGCCCTTTGTCTTGGCGGAAGCCGGAGACGGAAAGACGCGCGCAGCAGGGGCGGGACTGGAGAGCGGCCCTGCGCGCGGATCTCGCGAGAGCGTTAGAGGGCGGAAGCGCTATTCGAGCAGGATGAGGTTCGTGGTTGCGTTAGTCCTCCTGAGCGTCGCAGCGGCTGGTAAGACCCTCTATCCCGCATGCCACTGTTGCCCCCAGGTCCCCCATTTTCACCTGGGCAGGTAACTTCTAGGCTCGCTTCTTCCCTGCCCGACCCACCTCTCCGCTCGCCATCATCTCCCGCCCCACCCCCCAATCCCTGTTTCCCCGCTGCTCCCGATATCTTCCAGCTCTGAGGAGTTCCTTCTTCCGGCCTGCCCTTCTCTGGTGCTAACTCATTTTTCTATTTTAGGAGCCGCGCCGTTCTCGGACACCGCAAGTGTCAAGAAAGAGGAAGCTGGAGTTCGGCCTTCTACAGAAAACGTCTCTACTTACCCCACCTTGAGCCAACGGCCTGGAGGCTCTACCAGGTCGGATTCGGAGCCGCACACTTCAGTAGACAGCCCTAGCAGGTTGGATTCAGAGCCGCAGACTTCAAAAGACAGCCCTAGCAAGTCGGGTGCGGAGGCGCAGACCCCAGAAGACAACCCCAACAAGTCGGGTGCGGAGGCAAAGACCCAAAAAGACAGCTCTAGCAAGTCAGGTTCGGAGGCTCAGATCACAAAAGACAGCTCCAGCAAGTCGGGTGCGGAGGCAAAGACCCAAAAAGACAGCTCTAGCAAGTCAGGTTCGGAGGCTCAGATCACAAAAGACAGCTCCAGCAAGTCGGGTGCGGAGGCAAAGACCCAAAAAGACAGCCCTAGCAAGTCGGGTTCGGAGGCGCAAACCACGAAAGACAGCACTAGCAAATCGGGTGCGGAGGCGCAAACCACGAAAGACAGCACTAGCAAATCGGGTGCGGAGGCGCCGACCCCACAAGACGTCCCTAATAAGTCGGGTGCCGACGGCTCTAGCAAGTCGGGTGCGGAGGATCAGATCCCAAAAGACGTCCCTAGCAAGTCAGGTGCAGAGAAGCAGACTCCAAAAGACGCCTCTAACAAGTCCGGTGCAGAGGAGCAGGGCCCAATAGACGGGTCTAGCAAGTCAGGTGCGGAGGAGCAGACCCCAAAAGACGGCCCTAGCAAGGTGGTTCCAGAGCAGCCTTCCAGGAAAGACCATTCCAAGCCCGTCTCCAACCCTTCTGATAACAAGGAGCTCCCCAAGGCGGACACAAACCAGTTAGCTGACAAAGGGAAGCTTTCTCCTCATGCTTTCAAAACCGAATCTGGGGAGGACACTGACCTCATTTCTTCCCCGCAGGAGGAAATTAAGTCTTCAGAGCCTACTGAGGATGTGGAGCCCAAAGAGGCTGAAGATGATGATACAGGACCCGAGGAGGGCTCACCGCCCAAAGAAGAGAAAGAAAAGATGTCCAGTTCTGCCTCCAGTGAAAACCGTGAAGGAACACTTTTGGATTCCAGGGGTAGCGAGAAGGATGACGGTTATGGGGAGAGTTCTGGAAGTGCCAGCGCGGAGAGCAGCCACTTCTTTGCATATCTGGTGACTGCAGCCATTCTTGTGGCAGTCCTCTATATCGCTCATCACAACAAGCGGAAGGTAGGTCTAGAGCGGCCTTCAGGAGGGGAGTGGAGTTTCCAGCACCCTGGAAGCTTGGGTTTGGGTGGGTATCCTATCACTGGATGCCCGTGAGCACTGGGGACTTTAAAACAAACTTCATTTTTTTTCCTCGGGCCCCATTAGGCGTTTTTACTCGTTTTGTGAATCGTGTTTTTATCCTGTCATCTGTTTACTTTGAATGTTCTCTGCTACTGCATTAGGAGCCAAGTTAGGCCATTATTAGGATCTGACCTGACGTGGAATCTCCTCCCATAACTTTGCACTTGGGCCCTTCACAGCCTCAGAGGACCTGAGTACTTGACAGTTAAAGCACGTACCTTCCATCCTTTTTCCATTCTTGAGACGACATATCATTTCTAGTTTCCTTTCCCAACATTCTCTTTTCCATCAGTGGCACAGAGAATAGTTTCAATTACTACATCTTCAATACCAGCAGCAAGGAGCCCAGGGACTTCTGCAATTAATAATAATTAGAAGAAAGCCCAGAAATTACACAGAAACGTACAACTGTTACTTTTTCGGCAGGGTTTGGTCTGTTTATTAGCAACTACTCTGATTGCATTTCGTATTGAGCCCCCAAAATTTAGAAGCTAGTCTCTGTAACCTGCTTAAAATTGGAGAGTCCATTTCTGGCCATGAGGCCTGTGGCTAGAAATAATAGAGGGGAAGACCTTTAGTAAAAATGTGCATTCCTGACTGGGTGCAGTGGCTCATGCCTGTAATCCCAGCACTTTGGGAGGCTGAGGCGGGAGGATCGCTTGAGCCCAGGAGTTCGAGACCAGCCTGGCCAACAAAGCAAGACCTCGTCTCTACATACAATAAAAAAAAAATTAGCCAGATGTGGTGGTGGACGTGTGTGGGCCCAGCTAGTCTGGAGGCTGAAGTGGGAGGATGGCTTGACTGTGGGAGGTCGAGGCTTCAGTGAGCCATGATTACGCCATTGCACTCCAGCCTGGGTGACACGGTGAGACCTTTCTTCAAAGAAAAAAAAGTGCATTTCTTTTTTTTTTTTTTGAGATGGAGTCTCGCTCTGTCACCCAGGCTGGAGTGCAGTGGCTGGATCTCAGCTCACTGCAAGCTCCGCCTCCCAGGTTTACGCCATTCTCCTGCCTCAGCCTCCCGAGTAGCTGGGACTACAGGCGCCCGCCACCACGCCTGGCTAGTTTTTTTTGTATTTTTTAGTAGAGACGGGATTTCACCGTGTTAGCCAGGATGGTCTTGATCTCCTGACCTCGTGATCCGCCTGTCTCAGCCTCCCAAAGTACTGGGATTACAGGCTTGAGCCACTGCGCCCGGCCAAAAAAGTGCATTTGTTATTCTATGTCCAAGTGTCCATTATGCAGGGTAACCTTGGTCATGAAATGAGAGTGATAGTATAGTTGATGTAGCAACGTGGGGCGAAAGAGTACATTTGTAGATAGGAAATTCTGATTATGATTATTTTTAAAGGAATGTTCTATTGTAGATATCTCTAGGAAGGAGTTGATAGATCCTTGACTTGTGTACCTTTGAATGAATCATACAGACTTCCTCCCACACGCTAGAACTCAGAAAGCCTTCTATTTGTTATTTCCTATTAAGCAATACAAAAGATTCTGATGTAATTAGGCTCTGTCTTTTTTAAACTGATTATAGTTTAAATAGACCTCTGTGAGTGTACTGCTCTTTCTACAGTCAGGGTCATTGACAAATATGCTACCAGGTGACTGCCTCTGATTTCAGAGACTGAACTATGTCATTACCTGTTAATCATTTTCTTTTTCTTTTCCTCAGATCATTGCTTTTGTCCTGGAAGGAAAAAGATCTAAAGTCACCCGGCGGCCAAAGGCCAGTGACTACCAACGCTTGGACCAGAAGGTAAGGAAGGAGGAGCCAGGTCCACGGGAGGGATAGTTAACGTTAGATGGACCCAGTAGTGGGCTTGCGTTTGCTATGGCAGCAGTGGCCGATTCTGGGGGTGCTGTTGCTGTTGCATTCGCCCTTTTTAGACAACAAACTAGAAACATCTAGATACACATATCTCTGACGTTAGAGCTAGAAGAGACCTTCGAATACTCTACAGCAGCTCCCTCCCTTAACAGCTGAGGAAATAAGCCCACACAGAAACACTCATTTTTTTTTTTTCCGCTAAGTTTCTACTGCAAGTTAGTGGCAAAATCAGGACCTGATAGCAACTCCCTGGTCTCCCAGTCCTGAGCTTTCTGCATTCTACCAGCGCTCCATAAACTTTAATAGGCATTTGAATAACCTTGGGGAATTTTGATAAAAAACATTGTCTGATTCATTTGATCGGGGGTGGAGCCTATATTTCTACATTTTTTTTTTTTTGGAGACAGAGTTTCGCTCTTGTTGCCCAGGCTGGAGTACAGTGGTGCAATCTCGGCTCACTACAACCTCTGCTTCCTGGGTTCAAGCTATTCTCCTGCCTCAGCCTCCCAAGTAGCTAGGATTACAAGTGCCACCACCACGCCAGCTAATTTTGTATTTTTGGTAGAGATGGGGTTTCTCCATGTTGGTCAGGCTGGTCTCGAACTCCCAACCTCAGGTGATCCGCCTCAACCTCCCAAAGTGCTGGGATTACAGGCATGAGCCACCATGCCCGGCTTATGTCTACATTCTTAGGAAGTTCTCAGGTGAAAACAAATGCCACTGGATCCACACTTTATGTGGTAAAGCGCTAGACTACGCTCACTGGAAACAGAAGCCCAGAAGCACATAGGCCTCCAACTCCCCACATGAGCCTGGCTTAAGCACTGTGGGCTGGAGTTCCTGAGTACAGCCAATTGATTCCTCTGTCAGAGAGATAAGCCCTCCTTCCACCCCTATTGGGGGAACCCGCTCCCAGTATTTCAGCGTAGGTTCTTTCTATTTTTTCTAAGTATCGGCTGGTCTGAGAAATAAAGAGAAAGAGTACAAAGAGAGGAATTTTATAGCTGGGCCTCTGGGGGTGACATCATATATTGGCAGGACCGTGATGTCCCCCTGAGCTGCAAAAACTAGCAAATTTTTATTAGGGATTTCAGAAGGGGAGGGGGTGTATGAACAGGGAGTAGGTCACAAAGATCACATGCCTCAAAGGGCAATAAAGATCACAAGGCAAAGGGCAAAATTAAAATTACTGATAAGGTTCTGTGTTCAGCTATGCACATATTGTCTTGATAAACATCTTAAACAACAGAAAACAGAGTTTGAGAGCAGAGAACAGGTCTGACCTCAAGTTTACCAGGGTGGGATTTTTTTTCCCTACCCTAATAAGCCTGAGGGTACTGCAGGAGACCAGGGCATATTTCAGTCCTTATCTTAACTGCGTAAGACAGACACTCCCAGAGCGGCCGTTTATAGACCTCCCTCCAGAAATGCAGTTCTTTTCCTAGGGTCTTAATATTTAATACTCCTTGCTAGAAGAAGAATTTAGCAATGTCTCTCCTACTTGCACATCCGTTTATAGGCTCTCTGCAAGAAGAAAAATATGTCTCTATTCTGCCCAACCCCACAGACAGTCAGACCTTATGGTTGCCTTCCCTTGTTCCCTGAAAATTGCTGCTGTTCTGTTCTTTTTCAAGGTGCACTGATTTCATATTGTTAAAACACCCATGTTTTACAGTCAGATTTCATATTGTTCAAATATACACATTTTACAATCAGTTTGTACAGTTAACACAATCATCACAGGGTCCTGAGGTGATGTACATCCTCAGCTTACGAAGATAACAGGATTAAGAGATTAAAGTAAGACAGGCGAGGGCCGGGCGCGGTGGCTCAAGCCTGTAATCCCAGCACTTTGGGAGGCCGAGACGGGCAGATCACGAGGTCAGGAGATCGAGACCATCCTGGTTCACACGGTGAAACCCCGTCTCTACTAAAAACTACAAAAAACTAGCCGGGCGAGGTGGCGGGCTCCTGTAGTCCCAGCTACTTGGGAGGCTGAGGCAGGAGAATGGCGTGAACCCAGGAGGCGGAGCTTGCAGTGAGCTGAGATCCGGCCACTGCACTCCAGCCTGGGCGACAGAGCTACACTCCGCCTCAAAAAAAAAAAAAAAAAAAAAAGTAAGACAGGCGTAAGAAATTATAAGAGTATTACTAGGGAAGTGATAAATGTCCATGAAATCTTCACAATTTATGTTCCTCTGCTGTGGCTCCAGCCGGTCCCTCCGTTTGGGGTCCCTGACTTCCCTCAACACACCCCATGGCAGCAGAGCTGAGCAAGGGTCTCTAAAGACAATCTGTCTAAGTAGGAAGAGTGTACTCTACTACGTTGCTACCAGCGTGCACCCTTCCTTCTGGTTTCAGCATAGCAACAAGCAGGACATTGGCAAAGAACCATTGGTGGCCCAAGTATGAATTGTTCCCAAACTTCCTGCAGGGAACATGATTCTCTTGTACAACTCAGTATTAGCTACAGCACGAGCCACTGAACTCACAACATCTTTGCTAACTAGTCCAATAGGCCAGCTTTACAATTTAGCTCTGGACTACTACCTTTTCAGATAATTGACTTTAAGTATTTCCCCTTTTTATGATATTTGTTTGTTTTTGAGACAGTCTCACTCTGTTGTCTAGGCTGGTATTTGTTTGTTTTTGAGACAGAGTCTTACTCTGTTGTCCAGGCTGGAGTGCAGTGGCTCAATCTTGGCTTACTGTAACCTCCACCACCCAGGTTCAAGCAGTTCTCCCACCTCAGCCTCCCGAGTAGCTGGGATTACGGGCACCCACCACCACACCCAGCTAATTTTTAGATTTTTAGTAGAGACGGGGTTTCACCCTTTTGGCCTGGCCAGGCTGGTCTGAACCCTGACCTCGCGATTCATCACCCAGCCTCCCAAAGTGCTGGGATTACAGGCGTGAGCCACCATGCCCGGCGATGATTTGTTTAAAATACACACGTGGGCTGCACAGTGGTTCACGCCTGTAATCCCAACAGTTTGGGAGGCTGAGGCAGGCAGATCACCTGAGGTCAGGAGTTCGAGATCAGTCTGGCCAACGTGGTGAAACTCCATCTCTACTAAAAATATAAAAATTAGCTGGGCGTGGTAATCCCAGCTACTACTGAGGAGGCCAAGGTGGGGGAGTCGCTTGAACTTCGGAGGCAGAGGTTGCAGTGAGCCAAGATCATGCCACTGCACTCCAGCCTGGGCGACAGAGCAAGACTCCGTCTCAAAAACAAAACAAAACAAAAACAAAAAACACATGTAAATAATTCACAATACAGAACAGTATGAAGCAGTAGCCAGGATTCCTATCTCTCCAAGTGTATATCTTTCTAGTGTTATGTTTCATTTCATACTTTAAAAATCATTTTGTGTGCTATTTTAATTAATTGCTGTTTCTGTGATGGTGGATCAGTATGTCTTAATTCTGAATGTGTTCCCTGCACCTCCTAAAAGATCTTTTTTTTCTCCCCAAAGTCATAACAGAATGGTACATTCCTCTGGAAAAAGATGAACGTCACCAATGGATTGTGCTGCTCTCGTTTCAGCTTTGAATTTTTTGTCCTTGAGAACCTTGTCCTCCCTGCTGATTTGTTTCTAAATCAAAAGAAATGAAGAAAAAAGTACTGTGACCTAAGAGACACCCTCCTCTAGGATTTAGTGACAAGTCTGGGCTGGCAGAGGTAGAGGGTTGCTTTGGGGTTTGCACCTGCACTTTGGTGACATCGTTCTTCTGTGTTCCCCTTATTTATGCTGGTGGCTTCCATCCATTCCTCCTCTGAGTGTGAGTGGAGGGCCATGTGGAAACACGGCTATGACCAAAGGGATATCCCAGTCTGGGCAGGTTGTGCTGCTGACCACCCTCCCTTGGGGCCCGGGCTCTGTAGGAAAGTTGGCCCTTGATTGTGGCATTGCACTCTCACTGTTTCTCTCTGCAGACCTAGGGGAAAACTGCAGGTAGAAGTGCTTTTCTACTAAGGCCTCTTACTTTGGGGGGGATGTGCCCTACAGAAGACATAGAAGATGGGGAAATGCCAACGGGCAAAGAGCTACTTTGAATACATAATTCTCTTCAAAGACTTCAGCAGCAAACCAAAACAGCAGGTTAAAAAAAAAATGCTTTTCTGGGTGCAAGTCTAACCTGTCTAGCATGAGATCTTCTTGATTTTCTGATTATTTTATATAACTTGAAACAAAGTGAATCAGCCTCCACTTGGTTGTGCCGAGCATAAAACAGAACTTGGGCTTCCTAATAGGCCACTGTCCCATCACAGATTTTTAAAATAAATATGATTTGAAATAGTGTGATCTTTCACACAATCATACTCAGTAGGAACTTTTTGAAATAGGGCAACTTCATGTTTCAAACGAGAAAACATGAAGGAGGGTTTTGGTTTTGGGCTGCAGTTTTTCCAAAGGGCTTTTATGAGATACATTTCCCACAAAGTCCGTTTGGCCTTTGTTGCCTAAAATAGACTTAGATTTATTAATAGAAACTAACCATACTCTCTGCCCATTTTTACCTCAGTGTATTTAATGGTCCTTTAATCTGATATAAGATGCCAAGGGCATTTGATAAAAATTATTCTTCCATGCCATGTCAGGAGTTAATGCAAATGCAGAGATTCTGTGGGTTCCCCTGGGATAAGTGAGGTTAGTGTCTTAGACCACACTATTGTTTGAAGGTTTATCTCTTCTAGTCATGCTCTTCCACTTTGTAGACAGCCTAAAGAGAGTTGTTTTTGAGCTGATCTCAGGGAAGTACCAATAACTTGGGAGATGAGGGACAAAAGATGATTCTGTGCTGTCAAGGCAGTAAGTCTGAAGAAAGGACCATGCTTCTTATATTATCTTCCACCTTGCTTAAAACAGCCCATAGCTTTGAGTTGACATTTTCATTCTTGGCAGGTAGCCTACTTTATGGAGGTAAGGAATGAAGACCTACCCTTGGGTCATTCTCTGTACTGATGCATCAGTCTTCTAATACTTTGCACCAACCTGAGGAATCTTCTTTTAGGCTCCTCTAGCATCCCCTAAGACCGTGGCTATTGCACATCTCTCTCCCTGCCTGCCTCCCTTATCCCTGCCTTTCCCCTCCTCGTGTTTTCTGATTGTGCCCATCTATACCAGCTCCTTTCCTTCCACCTTCATATGCACCTGGATTTTTCTGTTCCCAACTGTCCTATTTGTTATTCATCCTGCTACTCAACTTCTCCAGCATGTTGCTTCCCTTAAGTTGCCATTCATTCTCTTCATGACTTTTACCAACTCACTTCGGTCTCTGTCTGTCAACTATGCTTTTCTAAAGGTGACCAGTTATCAGATTACCAAATCCATGGCTTTTTCTCAAAGCTTAGTCTTGTCCTTGATGGAACTGGACACTGTTGACCATCCAAATGGAAATTCCCCTTTCTTGATGTCTCTGACAAATGGTCCTTTGCCTTATCTTGTGCTGGTGGGAAAGAGGCCCTCAAAGCCAGGCCTCTCTATTCCTTTGACTGTCTCCTTAGCCATTCACATCCATTCTTCATCCTTGGAGTGAGTGATTCCCAAGTCTCTGTCTTGGCTTAGTACCTAAAGAACCCAGTGCTGCTGGTATCGAATAGTTCAGCTTGGTTGTCACAGAAAGGAATTTCTCTCTTCTCCCATCAGCCTGCCCCTTCCAACTGTCCAGGTCAGTCTTCAGTCACCTGAATTCCTAACTGCAGACTTTTGCCCTTTTTCTCTCTCATCACCAAAGTCCTATCCGTTTTTTAAAAAATAAAAGATCCTTAGCTACAGTCTTTTCGTTTTCCTTGCTTCTCTTGTTGCCCACCCCCAGCCCGTTTTACTTCTCTCTTGGATTTTCTGTTTTCAGATCCACATTTACTGGGTTTCCTGTGCAGCTTCTTGGAAGGAAGTTCAATCTTGGAAAGACTGATCTTTCCAAAATATTTGCCCTGGTCTGAAGCTTTGGTCTGAACTTCTCGAGGCTTAGAGAATCCAGTTACAGACTTTTTGGGGTTCAGGATGCTATAGATTGACACCCTCCTGCCTTTCTCTGCATCCCAACCTGGCCAAGGTCCCTCCTGTGGGGTGCCCATCTGTGCCTTTATTCTGGCTGTGCCCTCGACTTTCCGGCTTCCCATGGTTCTTTGGTTAGTTTTCTCTTCCTTCTCTTCTTTCTCCTGCCTTCCCCAATCTGCCTGTTTCTTCAGGGCCCAGCTCGTTTCCTCGTACACCTTCCTCACTACCCCACCCCACGCTGTCGACTCCTTCCCTCAGCTCCACTAGCTCTTCATCATGCCACTCCTTTCAGAACTTCAACAAACCAGGGCAGTCAGGATCTGAAGTCTTTCTGGTCTCCCCAACTAAACTAAGTTCTTGAGGGACAGCCCTTGGCAATGCTTTCCTGTCTGCCGAGCATGGTGACCTTCCTTAGGACTTCCAGAGTTCAGTTCCTTCTGGCAGATATGTTTTCTTTCTCCATGCCATATGGATGTGACTCAAATGTGGGGTCCCACAGCTTTTCCTGGCTACCACTTGCTGTGGCCTTATACGTGTTGGGTTTTGCTCTTGAAGAGGAGAGCAGGAAGAAAGGTTGGTTTCAGAAACCAAGAGGAATGGCAGTGGACGAGTACATATTGTCACGGAGTCCACAGAGCTGAGCTTTTGAGCAGACTCTGAGAAGTATCATTGCTTGTGTTGAAAGAATACAACAGGATTTAAGTTTCTCTTTAGAAATTGCACTGAAGAAAGGCAGGGCACGGTGGCTCACCCCTGTAATCCCAGCACTTTGGGAGGCCGAGGTGGGTGGATCACGAGGTCAAGAGATCGAGACCATCCTGGCCAACATGGTGAAACCCTGTCTCTAATAAAAATACAAAAATTAGCCGGGCGTGGTGGCGTGCACCTGTAGTCCTAGCTACTAGGGAGAGTGAAGCAGGAGAATTGCTTGAATCCGGGAGCCGGAGGTTGCACTGAGCTGAGATCATGCCACTGCACCACTTGAGCCTGCCAATAGAGCAAGACTCCGTCTCAAAAAAAAAAAAAAAAAAAAAAAAAAAGCACTGAAGAAAATACCACACAGCAAAGGAAAACTTATTTTCTGCATGGTGTCTTTTCAAAGATAGAATGTTTGAAGCATGTTTCCTGGAGATTGTGTGGATGAGGGTGAGCTGGCTGAGGCATCGTTCAAGCTGGGGGGTATAAGAAGCACGTGCAGCCACAAGAGGCACCTCCTATAGTCAGCTAAGGGCTTCCCTTTCTGCGCCCAGCTTCTGGGTGAAGGGTGATTTCTGTTAGACAAATCTGTGCTTCAGTCATATATGTTAATAGAGGAAGCAGTTTTCCTGCTGCAGATCCCTGAATAGAGTTGCTGAAAGAGTCTAGTTCCGGACTCAGGGGAGGTCGAAGGCCAGTCTGTGTAGAAAGGCTGAGGCAACGGGGAAAGACTTGACAGCTAGTTACATATGCTCTGACGTAGTACCCCCATGATGGCTTCCAGTGACACGTGCTGATAGAATTCTAAACCTCTGGAATTTCCCTGCTGGTTAATTCTATGGCCCTTGACTGTACAGGGTAACCTGATGCCAGATGCTGTGGGCGTGATGAGAACTAGAGAACTTGCAGTGTGGAGGAAGCTGTGTGAGGCACCAGACGCTGTGCTTCTGCAGGCCATTTCCTGAAAACCCCTGTTAGAAAGGTTGGGTTTAGTGTGACTTGCTTGAGCAAGAGTCCTTGGGAGAGATTTTGAGGTTTAATTTAATGGTATCTCCAGAGCTAACAGTGACTCCATTCAGCTAGTTCCGCAAGTCAGATGTAAACTTAGAGTCTCCTTTGTGAAGGGTTTGGGTCTGAGCTGTATAGTATGTCAGTGGGTAAGCCCAGCCCTTCACCCTCTGATAGATACACCTTTAATTCACCAGACTTCATGTTTGATACAGTATTAATAGTTGAAATTGTTTCTCTTCTTTTGTATTTTCCCAGTTAATAGATGGCTACTGTTTCCACAATGTTTTATATTTTCAGCTTTTTGTAACTTAATTACTTAATTTTATTTTTTTAAAGCTTGTTGCGGTCTAATGAGAAGTATTTTTCAGTGCATAATGTTTTTCCGAGCTTCAGTTAATGCCATCCCAATGTAGTTTTGTTTTGTTGAACAGAAACCAAAATAAATTTCAAAATGTTAAAGCAATGGATTTAATACATTTATTTATTTTATTTTATTTTATTTTTGAGATAGAGTCTTGCTCTGTCACCAGCCTGGAGTGCAGTGGTGCGATCTTGGCTCACTGCAACCTCCGCCTCCCAGGTTCAGCGATTCTCCTAACTCAGCCTCCTGAGTAGCTGGGACTACAGGTGTGCGCCACCACACCCAGGTAATTTTTGTATTTTTAGTGAAGATGCAGTTTCACCATGTTGGCCAGGATTGGTCTCAATCTCTTCCTCGTGATCCGCCCACCTTGGCCTCCCAAAGTGCTGGGATTACAGGCGTGAGCCACGGCACCCGGTCAATAAATTTATGAATATTACATTAAGATGAACTACAATAAGACCTTTGGCATGTCAGTTTAACATAAGTGAAAGGTCCTTTTTATGCCTTTTGAGCCTTCCTTCACCTTCCATCCAACACACACGGGTACCAGTAATTGCAGATGCCATTTCTGAGCTTTGCACACTTTCTCTGGCTTTCCATGTTCTGCTCCTGACCAACTCTCCTACCACCTGACTCCTCCCAGCCTGGCTGCCTCTGTTGCTTTCAGTAGCTGGGCCATTGCTGGGAACACTCTGTTGCCTCCCTGTGCTGTCCCCTGCTGTGCCACTGTCTGGAATGCCTTGCAGCCTGTCTCAACACAATAAGGTAATCTTCTAACCTGTCCATGACCTGACTCCTGACGTCACCCTTCCCTGCATCACCCTTCCCCGCATATTTGGAGGATGAGGCTTGATTGAGGCTCAGGTACTGAGCTCCCTGAAGGTGCCTTGATGCGGGCACATCGAGAACCAGATGCCACCCCGATCATAAGGAAGACAGACCCAGGACTTCCATATGAATTGGATATTATCATCTGACATGCCCCCTAATAACTGATGGATCCTGCTGTTACCCCAAAGCTCCAGACCACACCGGGCCAGACACAGGCATTTCCTGTGCCCTGAAGAGCCACTGAACCCAGCACAAAAGAGATCTAGAGCTCTCCAAACCTATGGAATGGCAACCAAAACCATGCCCAGGTTTTGAGTTAAGCCTCATTAGTCTCCCTTCTCCTTCGACAGTGTAGAACTGTGCAGCACAGCACTAAGTGAATGAGAGCAGAAGCCACAAGACAGAACTGAACCCACCAGCTTTAGCTGACAACACTGCCAGGGGTTCTATCCACCGATGGAATTTTCTCTTTGATCACTGAGTGAGGAGGCATGGGTGAGGGATGCAGAGCGCTGCTCGTCATGAGACATCAAGCTATCCAAGTCAATACCCTGTTAGTAGGGACAGGATGTTATAAAAGGCATAATGATCTCATCTGCCCCAGCTGGAAGCAATGATTCCATTGCCCCAGACTCGGAATTGTGATATAAACTAGGCCTGTCTTCAGGAATCAGAACCAAATCAGAACCAAATTGCCTTATATGTGCAAGGAACTAATGCAGAAAGACATTATGGGTTAAGTCAAGGGAGATGCCCCAGCCATTGGGCAGATTCCTCTGACTCCTCCCTGATGGAACTAATTCTTCTTCTGTGCCTGGATCCTAGAGCCAAGATCCTTAAGGTCTGAGTACAAGTTCCGCTTCAGGATGGCACTGCTGCACAGCAGGGTACCTTGCAGGGCCCCGGCCAGCCCACAGGTGAAAATATCCTGGCCTAGGAGGCAAGAGCAGAGGCCCCTGAGTGTGACCCAGGCAGGCCCAGGGGAGGGTGGGGCCCTGGTGCTCTTCCCTCCACATGAGGGCCACCCAGAGCTGGCTCCAATCAGGACCGGGGCCACAGCCTGCCCAGGCAGCCCTGCTCAGGGGATGGGAAGCTGCAGGGGACAGCAGGCCTGAGGACAGGAAGAGAGGATGTTGGGCAACAGGGGCCCAGGGTCTCAGGTCCTGACAACATGGGGCAGTGAGTATACCTGTCAGGTAGAGGTTGGGGATGGGGCTCTGGGCCCTCAAGGAGGCTATCACATGAGGGTGCAGGCGGCCCAGGTTGTGGTCAGCCCCGTAGCAGGCGTCTTGGGGAGCAGCCAGATAAAACTGGTTGGTGAGTGGGGATCCTGCAGTCACACTCTCCACCTGAGGGCACAAAGGGTGGGGCGGGCACGTGAGATCCTGGCTCCCCTCCCTCTTCCACTGTCTCCCATTTGCTGACTGCGGGTATGGGTGCCCTGTCCTTCCCTGGGGCTCATGTCATGGGACCCGATTCCCCTGTCTTTGCAGGGAAAGGGCAGAAATCGCACCATGAGGTCCGTCACCACCCCAAATATTTTACCCCCTACCTTCCCCTCCAGCTGTGGGAACAGTTTCATGACCACTGACATAGAGGCTTCCACAGAGGAGTTTTTGAAGGTCTCATAGTCACTGCCCCGCTTTCCCTTCAGCTCCGCCTGCCACTCCTCAAACCACTCATAGGCGCTGGGTATGAGCATGGTCATGCTGGACCGGCCTGGGGGTCAGAGCTGATATTACTACTGCCCGGCCCCTCCCTCCAGCCCCTCACCCGGGACCCGCAGCCCCACCTGGGAATCGGTCCTCCCAGGTCGGATCCTTGGCTGATGGGAAAGCGACGAACAGAAGAGGGATGTGTTCCGCAGCCTTTTCCCTGGGCATGGAGACGTAGCGCTCCATCCTGCGTGTGACAGGAGTGTGGTGCAATCTCCAGGCTTTTGTCCTCAAAACCCCAGAACCACTGTAAGGACTGCTCAGCCCTAGGGACTCCCCACAGGGGTGAAGCTGAGCCACAGCCTTGAGGTGACAAACTTCCAGGAGCAAATTAGATATTGCCCACTTCCTCCCATTCCATATCCTCTGCTCATTCTGAGTCAAGCAGGGAGGCACAGGCCACACACACACACACACACACACACACACACATGCACCTTACGCCTGGTCCATGTCCGTGTCATAGTAAACATAGTAGTTGGTGGACGGCAGATGCAGGTCCTCCTTGGTGCCTTGCAGGCAGATGAAAACAGACATCATGCCTAAGCCAGGCCGCACCATCCCCAGCTGCTGCTTCACACCTGCCAAGGGGAGTGGGTGGTGCCTGTGTGAACTATGACCAGAGACTGCCACTCCCTGCTCCCAGGAGAGCTTCAGGGTGCCCGCTCACTGTGTCCTGAGCCTTATCCTCAGTGCCCAGGCCAGTTTTACAGCTATTTCAACTTGACGTTGGCAGGCGTCTGCTCTTCTGTCTCCTCTTACCTGGGAAGGACACTGCCCTGGGTTCCTATTCTTCCATCTCCCCCGTCTGTGCTCCAAGCCCCTTCAGAGGCAGGCAACGCCCAGCCCTGGTCCTCAACCCCCATGAACTGGCTTAGCACCTGCAGGAGGGTCAGGCTTACTGCCTCCCATCTTCCCCTTCATGTCTTGAAGTGGGAAGCGCGTGACTGGGCTCCCTCTATGAAGACCACACACGTGAACAGCAGCTCATTACCAGCCTGATTTCAGGATTAACTTTTATGCAGCCATGGAGTGAGTGAACATGCATGATTCCTAGTGTGACGTCAGAACACGTAGGCCTCCAGAGGGATGCCATGCATGTGAGCAAAGGCAGGCGGCCTGACTGGTACTTGGCATCTCAGGACTCAGCTGGAGGGAGGAGGGAAGAACTGCACTATGGCAGAGGCCGCAGCCACTGTGGGGCACCTGATGTCCCCCAGACCTAAACAGCTGGGCTTCCCCACTCCTCAGCAGATGACCCGAGACCGGTATTCCAGAAACTGCCCCCACAGATTCTTCTGCTGTCTTCCCATTCCCGGGACCAGCTCTGGCACCTGCCTGAGGGATGCTGGGCCCCTGGCTCCTCTGCTTTTTCCTTTTTTAAAAAACATTTATTTTTAGATGGAGTCTTGTTCTGTCGCCCAGGCTGGAGTGCAGTTGCGTGATCTCTGCTCACTGCAACCTCCGCCTCCCAGGCTCAAGCGATTCTCCTGCCTCAGCCTCCCGAGTAGCTGGGATTACAGGCACGTACCACCACACCCACTAATGTTTGTATTTTCAGTAGAGATGGGGTTTCACCACATTGGCCAGGCTATTTTCGAACTCCTGACCTCAAGTGATCTGCCCGCCTTGGCCTCCCAAAGTGCTGGGGATTGAAGGCATGAGTCACTGCGCCTGGCCTGCTTCATTCGTATAACTAAATATTTGTGAGGCCCTCAGGTTGTATTCAGGAGGAAGAAACACAGGAACAGGGATGGAGTGCAAGAGGGACAGATGGCTCTAGCTGGGCTGCCTGGGTAAGATGCTGGGCCTGGCCAGGACAGTGTCAGTGCCCAGAGGTCCTGGGACAGGGGAGAAGGGAGATCAGTGTCACAGAGAGAAAGGTAGGAAGTAACAAAGGCAGAGGCTGTCTGTGCACCATGCCTAACCCCCATACTCTGCCCCTGGGCTGTCTCTGCCTCACCCCCTCAGCTCCCCAGGTCTGAGAGAGGGGAGGCCGTGCAGGCTGTAGGCCCAGCCACGTGGGGCAAGGGAAAGAGAGGCTGGCATAGGTGGAGCCACCCTATGCCCTGGAGACAATCACAACTCACATACCACCCAGTCCCCATGAGGAAGGCCGGGACCTTGTTTTACCCCCCAGCCTACTCTGCTCTCCCCTTCCCCGGCTCCTCAGGGAGCAGCTCCCAGGCCCACCCTTTGGGGTCAGGGCTCTTTGCTCTCTGGCTCTTGCATCAGCCAGGGTTTCCACCACACCACATCGGAGCTGCTCTGTGGTCTCCAGCTCCCGCCCCAGCCTGAGCCCTTCATCTGGGCCCCTCTCTCTCACCCCTGCTGGGTTCCTGGTTCGCCCTTCCCAGCGGCCTCCCTTCCTCAGATCACACCAGATGCATCCAGTTACATGAAGTGGCGGGACCTCAGCCGCGGTGGCTCAGCGGCTCTGCTCCCTGTGGGCTGCCTGCTCTCCTGCTTCTCCTCCTGAGGCCTCTTCTCTGGAAACCCGCTCAGCCCGGAAGAGTGGGAGGAGCTGGAGCTTTCAAATCAGACCAGCTTCTCCACTCAGCCCTGCCCCTTTCAGCTGAGTGGCCTCAGGACTGTAATTAATCTGTATGGGCCTCAGTTTCCCCAACATTCAATGGTAGGGTTAGGATGACATTAGAGGCAGCCTTCTCACCTTGTTGCTTAAGTACAATCAGAGGGCCGGCCAAGAAGAGGGGAAGCATGACCCAAATGGAGCAAGTTGGCTCCAGAAGGGGACACGTTGGGGAACCTGCAAGAGGGGCAGTGCAGACCCGCCTTTTACCTGGCAGACAGCGGGCATTCCCCGGCAGTAGGTGCTCATAGGTGTTGAACAGCCCTGTGTTGGAGACCGCAATGGGGCAATAGATGTTCACCAACTCATGCCCCTTCTTCACACTGACACCTGCAGGCACAAGTGCTTGGCTGAGTGTCTGTGAGCCCCGGGGAAAGAGGAAGGCCCACGGCCCCCTTGGATCTCTCTCTGACTATGCCCATTGCTCAGACCTTGGAGTCCAGCTACCTAGACTCTGGCAAGGCAGTCACCTGGGAAATTGCAAAGTGAGTGAATATCTTTAAGGGCTCTCAGACTATCCTACAACTGCTCTGGGCTTCCTTTCCCTGGCTCTGCATCCATTCCTGTGTGTGTATGGACTCTGTCTTTCCTTTACCCAAAGCCCTGGAGAAACCTCAAGGGTTGAAGCCCATCTGATAGAAATCCAGGCCTTTCTCTGCTGTCAGGGTTCCTTTTCAAAGAAACAGTCAGGGGCTGAATAACTGCTTATGTTCAACAATGTACTGCATATACAAGGGTGGTCCCCTCAGATTATAATGGAGCTGAAAAATTCTTACTGCCTAGTGGTACTACAGCAATCCTAAGGCAATGCACAGTGTCACACATGTTTGTGGTGATGTTGGTGAAAACAAACTCACTGCACTGCCAGTGATATAAAGAAGTCTATCACACAGAATTATGTGCAGTAAATAGTACTTTTTTTTTTTTTTTTTTTGAGACAGAATCTCACTCTTGTCTCTCAGGCTGGAGTGCAATGGCACGATCTTGGCTCACTGCAACCTCCATCTCCCAGCTTCAAGTGATTATCTGCCCTCAGCCTCCCGAGTAGCTGGGGCTACAGGCGAGTTTTGTATTTTTAGTAGAGAAGGTTTCACCATGTTGGCCAGGCTGGTCTCGAACTCCTATCCTCAGGTGATCCACCTTCCTCGGCCTCCCAGTGTGTTGGGATTACAGGCGTGAGCCACCGTGCCAGCCTATAGTACTTTTTAATGAAAGAAATGACATGTTACTGGTTTATGTATTTGCTATACTTTTATTGTTTTAAACAAAAAAGTTTAAGGAGTAAAAAAAAAAAAGTTTTTGTTTTTGTTTCCTTTGAGAAGGAGTCTCGCACTGCTGCCCAGAGTGGTGTGCAGTGGTGTGATCTCAGCCCACTGCAACCTCCACCTCCCGGGTTCAAGAGAGTCTCCTGCCTCAGCCTCCTAGTAGTTGGGATTACAGGCGCCTGCCACCATGTCCGGCTAATTTTTATATTTTTAGTAGAGTTGGGGTTTCAAGGTCGTGGTCTCAAACTCTTGACCTCAAGTGATCTGCGCAACTCGGCCTCCCAAAATGCTGGGATTAACAGGCGTAAGCCACTCCACCCAGCCCCCAAAAAGACTTTAATTAGAAAAAAGCTCACAGAATAAGGATATAAAGAAAATATTTTTGTGCAGCTGTACAATGTATTTGTGTTTTAAGCTAAGTGTTATTATAAGAGTCAAAAAGTGTTTAAGTTGATAAAGTAAAAAAGTTAAACTAAGGTTAATTTATTCTTGAAGAAAAATAATTCTGTATAAACCTAGTATTGCCTAAGTGTACAGCGTCACGGTCACTCACCACTCACTGACACACCCAGAGCAGCTCCCAGTCCCGCACACTCCATGCCTGGGAAATGCCCTATACAGCTCTGCCATCTTTTATCTTTTTTTTTTTTTTTTTTTTTTCTAAGACAGAGTTTTGATCTTGTTGCCCAGGCTGGAGAGCAATGGTGCAATCTTGGCTCACTGCAACCTCTGCCTCCTGGGTTCAAGCAATTCTCCTGCTTCAGCCTCCTGAGTAGCTGGGATTACAGGCACCCGCCACCACGCCGTTAATTCTTGTATTTTTAGTAGAGACAGGGTTTCATCATGTTGGCCACGCTGGTCGCTAACTCCTGACCTCAGGTGATCCACTTGCTCGGCCTCCCAAAGTGCTGGGATTACAGGCGTGAGCCACTACACCTAGCCACCTTTTCTAAGTTTAGATACACAAACGCTCACCACTGTGTCACAGTCACCTACAGTATTCACTACAGTAGCATGCTGTACAGGCTTGTAACCTAGGAGCAGTAGGCTAGACCACATAGCCTAGGTGTGTATACCATCTGGATTTTTTTCTTTTCTTTTCTTTTTTTTTTTTGAGACGGAGTCTCGCTCTGTCCCCCAGGCTGGAGTGCAGCGGCGCGATCTCCACTCACTGCAAGCTCCGCCTCCCGGGTTCACGCCATTCTCCTGCCTCAGCCTCCCGTGTAGCTGGGACTACAGGCGTCCACCACCGCGCCCGGCTAATTTTTTTGTATTTTTAGTAGAGACGGGGTTTCACCGTGTTAGCCAGGATGGTCTCGATCTTCTGACCTCATGATCCGCCCGTCTCGGCCTCCCAAAGTGCTGGGATTACAGGCTTGAGCCACCGCGCCTGGCCCCCCATCTGGGTTTTTCTAACTACATTCTATGACGTTCGCACAGTGCAATTGCCCAACGATGCATTTGTGAGAACGTTGTCTCAGGTGCTAAGCGATGCATGACTGTATATGAAATGTCTAGAATAGACAAGTTCGGAGACGGAAAGTAGATTAGCGGTTGCCTAGGGCTGGGGGAGATGGGCAAAATGTGGAGTGATTTTCAAAGGATATGGGGCTTCCTCTGGGGCTGACAAAATCTTTCTAAAATCGACTGTGGTGATAGGTGCGTAACTCTGAACATACAGCCGATGAATTGTCTACTTTTTTTTTCTTTTCTGAGATGAAGTTTTGCTCTGTTACCCAGGTTAGAGTGCAGTGGCGCCATCTCGGCTCACTGCAACCTCCGCCTCCCGGGTTCAAGTGATTCTCCTGTCTCAGCCTCCTGAGTAGCTGGGATAACAGGCACGCACCATCATGCCTGGCTAATTTTTGTATTTTTAGTAGAGACGGGATTTCGCCATGTTGGCCAGGCTGGTCTCAAACTCCTGACCTCAGGTGATCCACCCACCTCGGCCTCCCAAAGTGGTAGGATTACAGGAGTGAGCCACCACACCTGGCCTGAATTGTATACATTTTTTATTTGAGGCAGAGTCTTACTCTGTCGACAAGGCTGGAATGCAGTGGCACAATCATAGCTCACTGCAGCCTTGAACTCCTGGGCTCAAGCGATCCTCCTGCCTCAGCCTCTTGAGTAGATGGGACTACAGGCTTGTAGTCCCCATCCCCAGCTAATTTTTTTTTTTTTTTTTTTTTAAGAGATCAGGTCTTGCTATGTTGCCCAGGCTGGTCCTGAACTCCTGGCCTCAAGTCATCTTCCTGCCTCAGCCTCTCAAAGCATTGGGATTATAGGCAAGAGCGGCTCTGCCGGTTGAACTGTATACTTTAAATGGGTGAAGTGTAACTTTAAATGGCTGAAGTATGTCTCCATAAAACTGTTACAAAAAAATTAATTGTGGTGCTAGATACTATGGAAAGTGTCCAAAAGATGCTTCCTCACATCTTGGCAATTACAAGTCAAATGGGTGATAGAAGCATAAGCTGAATGTCTTCCAGGTGGCAAATTCATTTAAATCAACGGTAAACATGATTCCCCCCTTTGCAGCTCAGTCACAGACACTGACTGGCCTGTGTACATTGGAGACAGGAAGCTGGGCTCAGGTTTTCTGAGGGTGTCAGGCATGCCTTACATTCCCCTGTGGCAAGTGGCAATCTTCCTTTGCATATATGCGAAAGTCTAACACAGGGTTTGGAAGTGAAACCGGTGGTTTGATTCAACAAAAGCACTAAAGAAAACACTCAGAAAAGGTCTTGCAACTGCAATTTTATTTTCTTTTGTGAAAATAAACAACTGGGAATTTAAATTGCTCCAAAAACCATAAAAACAAAAAGAAATACACACAGAAGAAGCATGTGAGGTGATGGGGAAGGGAACAAGGTCTCTAGAACTTTGGCAGATTGTGCTGGCACGGACCCAGGTGACAGGAGCCAGACCATGGGGCCGGTCCTGCCTGCCACTCTGGGACTGTGAGGGGATGATCGCCACTGGCAAGGACAGGGAGGAACACAGACTTCTTCGCTGAGGAAGTGGCAGGCACCTTGAGTCCCTTTAAATGGGGGGGTTGGGGGGAAACCATTTCAGAGGACCCACTTGCTCCACTGAAAGCTGGGGTTGGCGAGTTTGGGCCCACTGAGGGAGGGGATGCTGGTGGCAGCAAATCAGGCCAAGATGTCTTCTCACATGGTGATGGCCTCACACTGGGCAGAGGACAGAGGACGAAGAAGAACCCACGGTATTGAGCAGACGATGAAAACTTGGACTGGGTAACAGGAAATATCACAATGGCAGAGCTGCAGATGGAGTGGGAGAAGCTGGGGCAGGCGGCGGGGGCGAGAAGAGACAGGAGACAGAAAGTGCGAGAGAGGTAGAGAGAGAGGCACCCTCTGCCCAGGTCCATCCACCACAGCACCTACGGGACGAACAGCACGCTACTTTTCAGTTCTTTTTCTTATAAAGATTTTTTTTTGTTGTTTTGTTTTGTTTTTTAAAAAAGCCTTAAGATCAGCTACTGGTTACATCTACAAACTGTAAAGTGCTGTTGTTACCAGCCACTTTACAGAACAGTCCAGAGTGGTCAAATATTGACCAATAAAGTCTCCTTTTTCTTTTTCTTCTGAATCATTACTACTCAATGAGTCATGTGACAGCCTGCAGGGGTCAGGGGGCAGCTTAGTGGGCAGACTTGGTGACCAGGGAAAGAGGCTGGGCCTGTAGCACCGGGAGGGCCTGGTGGGCATGGAGTGTGGCGGGAAAGGACGGGGGAGAGGCCAGCAGAGCTGTGGGCATGGACCCAAGGGGGAGGGGCCGGGACAGGAGGGGAGGCTGGCTGCCCATCTGGCCAGAGGAGGAGGCTGCAGCCTTAGCTGACAAGAAGGCAGCAGAGTGGAGAGCCAGCTGGGCCCGGGTTTCTGGTTTGGTGGTGAGGGAGAGGGGCTGGGCTTGCTCCGAATGGGTGGCAGCAGGGGCAGCTGGTGAGGCCAACGCTGCAGAGGGGGTGGCCGGGGAGTCCAGCATGCTCCCATGGGAGGAGGCAGGGCTGTCACAGGGCTTCTCGGGGGGCAGGTACTGAACACATGGCTTCTTGCTCTTGGAGGCCAGAGCACCTAGGGGGAAAATACAAGAAAGAGTGAGCAGCTATAGCTCTGGGAGGCGGAGGCTGAGAACAGCCCTGGTGATACACGTGCTTTGGAGACACAGGCATGCTTTTGGCGAGGACCTGACATTACTTCCAAGGCTTTCAAGACTAGGAAACTGCATTCACAAATACCCAGCGCACAGAGAAGAGGCAACGCCCAAACTGATGAAGATCCACCCAGCATCGGATTGGAGAGAAGATGGCTCAGTGTCTCACAGGACCACCCTCCCTTTCTAAAGCTCGCAACTTTTGGGATGAATCTCCGGTTTGCTTTGAAATCTCTGGCTTATGGTATTAACACAGTCAGAGAGAGCGATACCTGCTGAGCAGCGTGCCAGACAGTGGGTTCCGCAGCACGCACGGGTCCCACTCATATGCACTCCTATGTGTAATGGAAGGAAGGAAGGAAAGGAGGAGGGGAGGGAGGAAGGGAGGGAAGGAAATAGGGAGGCAGGGAAGGAGAAAGGGAGGGAGGGAGAAAGGGAGGGAAGGAGAAAGGGAGGGAGAATGGGAGGGAGGCAGGGAGGGAGGAAGGGACGAAGGAAGGAGAGAGACTGAAAGCACTTTACATCATGCAAGCAGCGATACACTTGTCCTGGAGTAAGCATGAGATAGAGGTGTGACCTAAATATTAATAATAGTCGTCACAGTGTGAGCATCTTTCTGTGCTAGGCATGATTCTGGTATAAAGAGATTTTATACATGGTTTTGACACAAAGTGCCTCCTAAACCCAAGCAAACTATTTTTTCTGGTGTTCAACCAAAGAAACATCCAAGGAAACCCTGGCTGTCCTGGATCCACTGACAGGTGGGATGTCAGGGGCTCATGTGCTGTTTTCCTAAGGGCATTTCAAAGACAATTTCAGCCTCATTCCATTAACCCTCAGGTAGGATGATTCACTTTTCAACGGAATTAAAAAGTGCCTAGGCTTTGAAGTGACAAAGTCCTAGGATCAAATCCTACCACCGCCACTGAAGCAGAGTACCTGGGAAAATGTCTTCACATCTCAGAGCCTCTTAAGTGGCCACCTCGAGAAAGGGGTAGTAACACCTGCCTGCGAACACCGAGGCAGAAGCCCTGACCCGTCATGGAGCTAGAGACGGCATGGGCAGGTGTGGCTGTGACGGAAGGAAAAGCAGAAGAGGCCAGTGCCCCCAGACGCACCCTCTGCCTCCTGGACTTGCTGCTGTGACTGTGTCTGGGACAGCTGCTTTTCTCTCTTCCTCTTCTTTTTCTTACCCTGGAAAATATAGCAAAAGGAAGAGTTAAGCCGAGAGAGAAGAATGCTGGCTTCTCAGGGGCTCCCAGATCAGAGAGAATACAGGACGTTGCCCTTTACTGCTCTTGATCCCTCAGGGAGGGTGTGGAGAGAGAAACGATTCAGATCACACCCGTGGGAACCCGCGAGGAGGCAGAGGGAGCCCTTCCTCCCCTACAAATGCATTTCCCCTCCAGGTTGGGTGTCCAAGGCCTTCTTGGAAGGCCTTGAACAGTGCTGCTTGATCTTTTCTGAGGGGTCCCAGGTCCCTTTGAAAGTTTGATGCAACTGTAGGTCCTCTTACCAGAAGAAAAGCAAAGAAGAACACGCATGCAAAAATTAGCTTGGTTTCCGGGAGCTCAGAGACACGCCCCCTGAGGCTCACACACTGGTCTTTGAGCCATGGGTTAGGAGTAGCTAGAGACACTCTTCCCACCACAGCTAACCATGTGCCCTGTGTTATGAAATCGAGGGCAGAGTCCAGTTCAAAGGGAAATGCATAAACTGAAGTCCGTCCTCAGGACTTGTTGACTTCTTGAGAATTAAAACGTCTTCCCTATTTCTAGAGAAGTATGGGCTTCTCCCTCATCTTAAGAGTCCTCTATAAATGCAGTTGCTTTCCTTTGCCCTTCCTCCTCTTGTAGAGGCTGCTGTTGGGGTCTGAGCGTCCTCTGCCCAGAGCGTGCACTTACGTAGTTGTCCCGGGCTGACCAGGTCGGGTAGAGCTGTGAGTGAAGCTGCCGCTCCTTCCGGGCCAGCTCGTAGTACTTGGCCTGTTCTTCTCGAGACAGGTTGTGCCACTGGGGAGAGAGGGTCAGAGACGACACGGAGCCATCAATGCAGGGATGCTGCCCCTGTGGCCTGGAGGGTGAGGGCAGGTCTTACCTTTCTTCCCAGGATCTGGTTAATGGCCGCACTTTCCTTCAGGGTGCACTCAGCCACCACCTTGGCTCTCATCTCCTTCATATACAACATGAAGGCATTCAGAGGCTTCTTCACGTGGGGCTTCTTTTCTTCCTCCTTTTTCACGGTGACTGGTGATTTCCTGGGAAGGCACATGACTGTAGGTTAGTATGTGTCAGGTGTTACACGACTCATCAATCCCTGCCTGTCACTGAGACGCTGCTGACTGTCTCTGGGGAGGGGCGCGGGCTGCCTGGATGCTAATTCAAGTGGCCCCATGGCTGCGCTCAGCGCCTGAGCACCTTCCTCCCCTAGTTTCCCACCTTTGAATGATCTCCAAGCCAGATTCTTTGAAAATCTACTCTCTAATTTCCTGACAGAGGAACAGAGCGTGGTGGGGGTGCTGAGATGAGCTCTCACTGGAGCTGGCAGGTGCTGGCGACAGTGACAGGACACAGTGTGGGACACTCTGGGCAGAACCAAGGGTGGGGTCTCCTGGGATCTCCAGGGAGCACTGACTTTGGCTTCCTGCCATCTTTATGGCACACGGCCAAGGGAAGGACCCTGGTGCTTGTCTCAGCTAGGCCACCAGGCCACCATGAGTCCTTAAGAAAACACTGTCTCCTTTCTGGGCCTCACCTTTCCATATATCTTATGGTGGGGAGGAGGGGGAGTTAAAAGCTTTCTCAGGTTCTCTTCAGCCTCTGAGACCTGACAGTAAATCTTTTCTTAATAGGAGAGAAGAAGCACCATGTCCCTGAAAGGACAGGGACCCAGAAGGTCCGAGGGAGTAAGTCCCAACGGAGAGGGAGAGCCTGGCTGGGAAGGCTGTGCTGCCTGCTGAGTGACACCGAGAGAGAAGAGTACATGGCATTTGCTGCTCAGTGCGTGGACACCCCTCTTCACAGCCTGTACCCTCCCACCCGAAATCCAGGCTGCCGTTTACTTACGCGCTCACTGCAGGGCTCAGGCTGGGGGGTGCCGGTTCCTGCTTGACGATGGGGGAGACGATGGCAGGGTGGGGGATCCCTGAGGTGGGCAGGCCAGGGTGGGCAGGAGCCACCATGTGAGGAGAGAACCGACTGGAGACCAGGCTGTGCACCGGATAGAAACAAATGATAACAGAGGGATTCAGGCTGGATACCTGCCACCCGGCAGAGGACACGGTGGCTCTCTGCCTTGAGGGCACAGGTATGTCCGTGGGGCCGAGTCTGAGGACTAGAAGGCTATTTGTCGTCTTCTAGAGAACCAGGTTTGGGAGATGCCTAATGCCTCTTCCCTCTCCCCACCAACACCCAGGCTGCCCATCTGGTGCTGGAAGCAGGCGGGATGAAACACACAAAAGGGGCGGAGGGTCAGAGACCCAGGCACGCTGGGGAAAAGAAGGGCTTAGGCTGTGGGTGACTTTTCCTCTGTCCTCAGAGTTTCCACTGTCAGGTAGAGCTGGTCCCTAAGACAGAAATCCCCTTTCACTGTCTCCTCTCCTGACATCATTTCAGGAAAAATTCATCATCTCCCAGTCCCTGGCTTCAGTGCAATATACAGACAGTCCGCAACTTAGGATTTTTGACTTTATGATGGTGCAAAAACGGTATGAATTCAGTACTCTGTTTGACCTAGATGGGGTTATGTCTGGATAAAACCATCATATGTTGCAAATATTCTAAGGTGAAAGTGGTGTTTTCAATGTACGATGGGTTTATCAGGACGTGGCTCTGTCCTAAGTCGGGGAGCACCTGTCCTCAAAATGCTTCTGTACCAGAGCCCACGGCAGGAGGCAGAGCGCTGGGGCTTTGAAATCCTTTTGTTGGAGAGATGGGGACAGTGACCCTGTGGTCTCCATTCTGACCTGGGGGTGGGAAGCGCGGGGCACAAGAAGGTGCTTGACCAAAGAGAGGTTGGGGGAAGGGTGAGCCCTATGCTGGCTCATTACCTGGCAAGGAAAAGCTGTTTCGTGGTCAGAAATGGCGTGGTTGCTAAGACAAACGTGGACAGCCCCAGCCCCGGAACTCACCTGGACATTGAGGCGTTCATGGCGAGGGCGGGGTAAGGGTGCCGGAAGCCACCAGGAGGAAGGGAGTACATGGGCTGGCCTTGCCTGTGAGGGTGAGGAAATCTGGTCAGCACACTGGGAAAGCTCAGGGCAGGGGAGGAGAGGCACTTGGGAAGAGGGGATGAGAAATAAGGGAAGGAAGCGGGAAGGCAGAGCTGGGAGCAAGCTGCCCGGGCGGGAGCAGGGAGGCTTAGTCCTGGGCTTGCCTCTGAGGGGGCTCCACAGTGCAGGGCACGCAGGGCACAGAGGCAGGGCTCGGCGCAAGGAGGGAGCAGGGGGAAGAGAGGCTGTGGGTTCCTTACTGTGGGACGAGCCAGCCGAGGGGGTGGGGGATTTGTCCGACAGCTCCGGGAGACAGTGGGTAATACGGTGACAGCTCGGATGGGTGAGGGGGCCGGGGGATTCCTGCTTCCAAAGAGAGATGTGTCAGACTGCCCCTCGCCCTGCCAGAGCGTCGCAACGAACATCAAATGGGAGCGTCCTGCCCTATGTCCCTGCTGCTCTGCAGCCTAGCGGGCGCTTGTGGCATCGTCCTTGCCCTCTGTCACCTCCCTAGCAGCTCTCACCAGTCAGTCAAGGACACACTCAGGGAAGGCAGGACTAATGCACCCTTCTCTAGCTGCATGGATTCCATCTCTGTGAAGAGTACCTTCCAGCTGGCTGTGATATAGAAGCCAGTGTCCTGGAAGAGAGGACAGGACCCACAAGATCAATGACAAGAGTCATTGGTGAACTAAGTCTCTAGAAAGCCCGCCTCATTCATGGAGAAATAAACTTTGGATTCCTCCTCCACATGTGTCTTCCTCATGATCTGTCACTTGTAGTGACTTATTTCTCCAAAGAGGGGCCCCAAAAACGCTTTGCCTTCCCCTGGCCACTCTGTGTGAATGCTATAAAGACGGTGGCTCCCTGGAATGGACAGGTCTGGTGGGCAAGTTGTTGTCAACAACAACAAAAAAAGCCAGCTCAGGTTGGGCACAGTGGCACACACTGGCAATCCCCACACTGAGGTGAGTTGATTGCTTGAGCCCAGGAGTTTGAGACCAGCCTGGGCAACATGGCAAAAACCCATCTCTACTAAAAATACAAAAATTAGCTGGGCAAGGGCATGGGGGCATGCGCCTGTGGTCGCAGCAACTCAGGAGGCTGAGTAGGAGGACTGCTTGAGCCCGGGCTGCAGTGAGCTGAGATCACACTACTGCACTCCAGCTTGGGCGACACAGCAAGACTGTCTGAAATAAATAAATAAATAAAAGCCAGTTTGGCCTCACTGCTTTATGGTTGCACTTCTATGTCTGCTTAGACTGATGAAATCTATTGAAAAATGTTCAGTTTCGGGCAAAGGTGTCTTGGTGTAGGGAAGCACGGCCCACAGCGGGGCTGGACTTGGGCAGTCACCCCAAACGTTGCCTGTGGAGCCAGGCCCTGTGCTTCACTGCTGAATTCCCTCTGGGCCTTATGACCCTACGGTGGGGAAGGTACGGGGAGGTACCGATGAAAAAAACGACAAGGCTAAAGTTAGCACACAAGGTCCAAAGACTCCCGAGACAAAGAGCGATGATTTGACCCCAAGTCAACCTGATTCAAGGGCTGTTATGTTCCCACAAAAGAGAAGCCGCCTGCCCTGCGGCAGCGCTGCCTGAGTGGCAGACCACTTACCTGTCTTTGGATCGATCTCTGGGGAGAGGTGGGTGGGAGGGGAGCCGGGGGAGAAGTGGTCATTGCTGTAGGTGATGAGGGGAGTCAGCGGATGCATGTGATGTGGGTGCTGAACGACAGGAACTTTATTGGACTGAAAGAGAGAAAAAAAGACCAGGAATAGTTGCCAAGGAGATAGACAGTACGACCAGCTGTTATTTACAGAATCAACTACGTGCCAGGTATTTTCCAGGCAACATCCCATTCAGTCCTCAAAACAGTCCCTGAGAGTTGACAGCAGTGGACACAGCATAGAAGGAAGTCGCAGGACTTGAGAAGGGATCATACCCACCCTCCAGCTTCTCCCACAAGACAGCCCTCCATCGCTCCCCTCGCGTGCACTGTTTGCGGAAAATACTACAAGCTGCTGGGGGATGATCTGCGCTGTGTCATCTCACTGAATCTGAAAAGGTTTTTTTTGTTTTTTTGTTTTTTTTTAAATGGAGTCTTGCTCTGTTGCCCAGGCTGGAGTGCAGTGGCACAGTCTCGGCTCACGGCAACCTCCACCTCCCGGGTTCAAGCAATTCTCCTGTCTCAGCCTCTGGAGAAACAGGGATTACAGGCATCTGCCACCATGCCCGGCTAATTTTTGATATTTTTAGTAGAGATGGGGTTTCACCCTGTGGGCCAGGCTGGTCTTGAACTCCTGATCTCAGGTGATCCACCTGCCTCGGCCTCCCAAAGTGCTGGGATTACAGGTGTGAGTCACTGCGCCCGGCCCTGAAAAGGTTTAACACACATTTTCGAAATAAACTTCATAGAAACAGTCGCTGTTAGGTTCAAGTCTGGGACTGCGAACAGGGCAGGGGGAGAGTTGTCCCCATTAGACCTCATACCACCAAGTCTCATATTCAGGCTTTACAGACACAGCCCCAAAGCGCTTGCAACACTTCTCTCTGCAGCACTTTATTCTGCTGACCTCGTTACCACATTCTGTGTAAAACACCAGCAAATGGAAGGAGCACCATTATTTTATAAAGCTATTGAGAAAGAAAAACGCTGGCACACCACAGACACATCTTTAGAGATGTTAACATGGGAAAAACTTGTGCGTCCAAGAATTGGTAAACTGAATTAACTTTTTAATTGTTTCAACCTAATCTGCCTTATCCATAAGGCTTTTTATTTTAAAAACATCTACACGTCACTGAAGCCTGCACTACAAACACAGCACTAGGCATAATGTCTAGTCCTTATAACCTAGAAAGAAGTTGTGATTACCCCCATTCCAGAGAAGAGGGAACAGCCCAGAAAGATTACATGACTTAGCCTGGGACACAGTTAGTAAGTGGCAGAGCTGGGATTCATATCAGCTGTTTATGGCTCTAATAAACAAGAATGTTTTCTCTTGTACAACCTGCCTCTCCCAGAACCTTCTCAAAATGTAAAACTTATCTATCACAGAGAAAAGACAGACATTGTTTTTTGTAAGAGAATGTAGTAAGATAAATGAGTTACAAGCGGAGAAGAGATTTCTTTTTAAAAGAGAATTGTGGCCGGGCGCGATGACTCACGCCTGTAATCCCAGCATTTTGGGAGGCCAAGGTGGGCGGAACACCTGAGGTCAGGAGTTCAAGACCAGCCTGGCCAACATGGTGAAACCCCGTATCTACTAAAAATACAAAAATTAGCTGGGCGTGGTGGTGTGCGCCTATAGTCCCAGCTACCCAGGAGGCTGAGGCAGGAGAATCACTGGAACCTGGGAGGCAGAGGCTGCAGTGAGCCGAGATCGTGCCACTGCACTCCAGCCCCTGGGTGGCAGAGCAAGACTCCATCTCAAAAAAAAAAAGAGAGAGAGATTTGTAAAAATGATGATTTGGAGGTGACCCAAGGGCTACAACTCCAAATGTTCCTGTTTGAATTTTTCATTTCATAGATTCCATGAGCCCTTTCTTTCCTTTCATGTGGTGCCTATTTGGTACTCATAATGCAAACTCCAATCCATAGATTTCCTGGGTATCCTTGAGCTCACCACAGCCTTGTTCCTTTTCAGTGTGCCAAGCAGAGGAGAGGCGGAGAATTAAACTGTTCATAACCATGACCACCAGGTGGTGCCAGCACACAGCTGGGCCCTGCTGGCGGCTGGCGGGCTCACCGGATGTTGCACAGTGAATTTAAAAATTACCGTCTTCTTACTGTTTTCACCTGTCCAATTATTTGTTTTTGAAGATATCTCCATATACATGAACATATTACACAAAAGTATTAAAAATTATTTTAAGATCAGATATCCAGGAAGCCAATGCATCTTAATGGTAGAGTTTCTAGAAACAGCTTTGTCTAAAGCGTGACTTTTAGTATTATAAATGAAATAGAATTATTACCAGAGTGAAAATAAATAATCGCAATTAAAAAATAAATAAACTCTGTAATTAAAAAAAAAAAGGCTAAATAGAAGCACACCAAAAATGTAAACAACAGTTATGTTTGAGTGGTGAAACTATGAGTAATTTTGTTTTTATTGTCTCTTTCCATATTTTCCAACTTTACTTTCACCATGATCTACTACTTAAAAAAATGTACTATGAATAACACAAACTTTCTAAGAAATACAAACTATATCATAATTGTATCACAAAGCATTTAGACAACTAACCACACCATCCTAACCCTGTCACTATGGTCATTTTGGCATATCTCCTTTCATTAAGACTTTCTGTGCATCAGTTTTGTGTGTGTGTGTGTGTGTGTGTGTGTGTGTGTGTGTGTGTGTTTGAGACAGGGTCTCACTCTGTTGCCCAGGCTGGAGTGCAGTGGTGCAATCTTGGTTCACTGCAGCCTCTGTCTCCCAGGTTCAAGCAATCCTCCCACCTCAGCCTCCCAGGTAGCACGGACTACAGGTGCGCACTGCCACGCCTTGCTAATTTTTTGTTGAGACGCAATTTTGCCATGTTGTCCAGGCTGTTCTCGAACTCCTGGGCTCAAGCAATCCACCCACCTTGGTCTCCTAAAATGCTGGGATTACAGGTGTGAGCCACTGTGCCGGGCCTCTGCATTAGTTTTATTTAATTTTATTTTGAGATGGTGTCTCGCTCTGTCACCCAGACTGGAGTGCAAGTGGTGTGATCTCGGTTCACTGCAACCTCTGCCTCCTGGGTTCAAATGATTCTCCTGCTTCAGCCTCCCAAGTAGCTGGGATTACAGGCGCCCACCACCATGCCCGGCTAATGCTTTTTGTATTTTTAGTAGAGATGGGGTTTCACTATGTTGGCCTGGCTGGTTTCGAACTCCTGACATCAAGCGATGCCCCCCGCCGCCCAAACCCGCCTTGGCCTCCCAAAGTGCTGGGATTACAGGTGTGAGCCATCACGCCCAGCCTCTGCAACAGTTTTAAATTTACATTTATTTACATCATTTATAGCCGTCTTAAAAACTGGTGATAGCATTAGGAAATCCTGATTGCTCACGTGCTGTAGTTTGGCCTGAGGAGAAACCAGCAAACAGCACTCAATGGGTAACAGAATTAAGCATTAGGTTGGTGCAAAAGTAATTGTGGTTTTGGCCATACTTTTAATGGCAAAACCACAATTACTTTTGCACCAACCTAATACAAAGTAGAGAAATTTTTTTTTTTGAGACGGAGTCGTCGCTCTGTCGCCCAGGCTGGAGTGCTGTGGCCGGATCTCAGCTCACTGCAAGCTCCGCCTCCCGGGTTTACGACATTCTCCTGCCTCAGCGTCCCGAGTAGCTGGGACTACAGACGCCCGCCACCTCGCCCGGCTAGTTTTTTGTATTTTTTAGTAGAGATGGGGTTTCACCGTGTTAGCCAGGATGGTCTCGATCTCCTGACCTCGTGATCCGCCCGTCTCGGCCTCCCAAAGTGCTGGGATTACAGGCTTGAGCCACCGCGCCCGGCTAAAGTAGGGAAGTTTTTATTTGAAAATCTATGTAAAGTTGTCGAAATGCTGTGAGTTCTTACTGTTTCCCACTAGGTGGCATCATTGTCCACAAAATGAACCAGGAGAGACTGCGGGAAGTGGATGTGGCCTCCCAGAAGGAAGGTTCTCCTTGCAGGGTTCTGTCCCAGTAAAAGTTCCTGCTCCTTTCTCTCCTCAGCTGCCTCCAGGGGCAGGATGTTCACAGCATAAACCCAA